CCCTTTAAAGGGTTTGAGGATTGTCCCTTTACCTATTATTTTCTTTGGGTTTCTTCAATATTTTTTCATTCTTTTTTTTCTAAGATATCAAAGTCTAAAATACCCATGTATTCAACCAAAACAACATATTGGACCTATAATTAGTACAAGTTGTCAAGATTGTGGTACACCTCGTTTACAACATGAATGTAGTACTCCCCGTCTTGAAAAACAACAATGGCATAATAATAATACTTTTTTGGTAAAAAGAAAATTTTTTTTGAAAAAAAATTTTTGAAAAAAATTTCAAAAAAATTTCAGAAATTTTTCAAAAAATTTGAAAAAATTCCAGAAAATTTTTTAAATTTTTCAAAAAATTTTTTTTCCAAATTCCACAGACCCAAACAACCCCCACTTCATTAAAAAAACAGCAACACCATTTATATGTAGACCCAACAACTTATGAGGACCCAACACAAATATTAGCAGCATTTACAAATGAAATTTATGCAAAAGATGTTGAAATAACAAGAGTAATAGGTAGTGGTGAATTTGGGGAAGTTTGTTGTGGACGGTTAACTGTTGAAGATAGTTATGGGCAGAGACAGGTATTTTGAAACTTTTTTTGCTTCAAGTTTTATTTTTAATTTTTCTTGAATGTTTCAAGTTTTATTTTTAATTAAACTTTATTTCAAGTTTATTTTAATAAATAAACTTTGCGTCAAGTTTTAATTTTTGTTAAATAAACTTAGAAAAAAACTTAAGTTTTCTTCTTTGCTTCAAGTTTATTTTTCGAAAAATAAGTTTATTTAAAGGTTTATTTTAATTAAAGTTTAATTAATAACAAAGTTTATTTTTTTTAAACTTAGAATAAGTTTATTTTTTTCAAGTTTATTTTTCTAAGTTTTTGCTTCAAGTTTATTTAACAACCTAAAAAAGTTTATTTTTAACTAAAGTTTTATTTCTTTTAGCAACAAATTGTAGCAGTCAAGCGTTTGTTACCTGAAGCAAGTTGCAAAGCTAAAACTGACTTTTTGTTGGAAGCTTCTATAATGGGGCAATTTGTAATTTAATTTATTTTCCCCATAAAAATGTTTTAAAAATTTAAAGGAACACGAAAACGTTATTAGATTAATTGGGGTTGTTACCAGAACAGAGCCAGTTATGTTAATAACCGAATATATGTTGTATGGCTCTTTGGATCAATTTTTGAGGGCAAATAGAGATGGACAATTAACTATATGCCAATTAGTTCGATTATTACATGGAATTGCTTGTGGAATGAATTATTTAACTGATAAGGCTTATGTTCATAGGGTAAACGAGAAAAAAATTTTTTTGAAATTTTTTGCTTCAAGTTTCTTAAACGTGAAACTTTTTTTGCTTCAAGTTCCCTCAACTTGAAACTTTTTTTTGCTTCAAGTTACCTCAACTTGAAACTTTTTTTGCTTCAAGTTTCTTGAACTAGAAGCTTTTTTTTGCTTCAAGTTTCATTTTTCTGATACAGTCAAATCTCAATAACATACTTCTCTTTCCTTATTACTTCAATTTATCTCGCTTGAATTTTGGCGAGATTTGACGTCCAAGAACACTTTTCTTGCATTAAGAGATCGACTCAAAACGATCTCTAGGTTGACATTTTATCGAGATTTGACTGTACTTTAACAATAACTTGTTATACTCTGGTGTAGTGGTAACGCTCTAGGTTTTACCCTTCTAATCAGCCTAGTTTCGAATCCTTTTGTTTGGAAATTATTTTTATTTAATTTTTGAGGCAATTAAATTGTTTTTTCTAATTTAAAAATAATTTTTGACAACCAAAAAATTTATTTTAACAATCAAAAAATCGAAAAAAAAATAATTTTTTTAAAGGATTTGGCTGCCCGTAATGTTCTTGTCGACGACCGTTTAACTTGCAAAATTGCTGATTTTGGGTTAAGCCGTGGATTACGTCCAAGCAACAACAGTAGTGGTAGTGGGTCTCCACCTTTTATTGAACAGGAATATACAACACAACAAGGAGGGAAAATTCCAATTCGGTGGACAGCGCCAGAGGCAATAATGCAACACAAATATACAACAGCTTCGGATGTGTGGAGTTTTGGTGTTGTTATGTGGGAGGTGAGGACGAAAATATTTTTTATAGGTAACCCTTTATCATAAGATATCCCCAATAGTAGATACTCCTCTATTTAAGAGACGATTTTTTTAGAAATTTGGGTGATCATTGGGTAGGGTGAGCTGTCTACTTTTAAAGCGGTACCTTTTAATTTAATCTATTTACATCTCATTATAAGGCCACCATTTTGTAGAAACCTCAATAAGATATCTCCAATATTGGGTGTGAAGCAGGGATCTAGCCGACATAAAAATTCGATTCCCGATTTTCGGGAATCGGGAGGGCTAGGTCCTTAGTTGTGGAGTGAGATTTCTATCAAGCTATGCCCTCTATTTAAGCTACCCTCAGTATATAAGATACATTTTTTCAGCCTTAAAGGTATATTTTATAAAATGAGTTTTGACCTTAGAAGCTTTTAAGAGATTTCCTAATTTTTCCAAATTTTTCCAAATTTTAAAGGTTTTATCATTTGGAGAACGTCCATATTGGGATTGGAGTAACCACAGAGTTATTCAAGAAGTTATTCATTCTGGTTATCGTTTACCAGCTCCACAAGACACTCCAAAACGTTTATATGAAATTATGATGACTTGTTGGTATGCAGAAAGGAATTTAAGGCCAACATTTGCCCAATTACTTTCACAATTAAATGCATTCCTTACAGATGTAGACTTTTTTTATAAATATATTTGAGAAAGAAAAAAAAATTATAGAAAAATATATATATTTACTTATAGGTGCCTAAAAATGTGATTTTTTGAGAGAGATTCTTTTATATTGTCTCTAAAAATATGTTTTTTTTTTATTGGTTTAAGAATCGGAATAAAATTTTAAAAGTTTACAGAAAATAATAAGGGTTGTGAAGCTAAAAGACGTGCTATAATTCTTTGTTGGAATGGGTATTTAATATATAGGATAGGATCTTTTCCAATTTATTCTCATTTTAAAAAAGGACTTACCTCATTTAGTGTTCGGCAAATGGATTTTTCCGGTACTGGTTGTACCGGAAAGTACCGGCCCGTTACTGACGGTAGTACCGCGGTAGTGTCGAACACTAACCTCATTCATTATGTGTAGAAACAAAAAATTTTTTTAGTCCTATCCAGGGTTGATCGCGTCATGATTGCCTCTTGCGCTCACCCCTGGTCCTATTTTAAAAAGCTGACAAGGGATCTTTCTGATATTTGGAGTCGTTCCACGGGTGTCTTTTAAGCTGAGTCAGTTTCAGTTAACTAACATATCTTTTTTAGACTAAAGATTTATTCCGATTCATAAATCAAAAATTGCTTTTCTCTTTTGCTTTCATTATATTTTTGAATTGTATACACAAACAAAACTGCCCATCAAAATTCTTCAAAAAAATACAAAAATTTTGTATACTTAATTCCAAGGGGACAAACCCAAGTAGGCGCGCGGCCAGGTAGGCGCAAAGCCATAACTAGCTGGAAAATTTCTGGACCTTAACAATTTTGGTAACAATTTCTTTAGCTCGATGAGAGGAATCGTTTAATGCTAAATTTTGAAAGATTCGAAAATCTTGAAGCAAGTTATGGCTCTGCGCCTACTTGGCCGCGCGCCTACTTGGGCTGTACCCGATTCCAAGCCTATTGACTTTATTAATTTCAATTTTATTTTTTTTTGTTTTAAATATTAAATGGAAAAATAAAATCAAATTTTTATTGAATAAAAAAGAATTTTTAAATAAAATAAATTCCATTTAATACGAAAAAATTTTTTTTTAATCTTTTGTTCGAAGCACATATACACGTATCTCAGAGCACAAACTCTCTCTCACTCATTGCCAGAATTATTTTTTTTTAATTTTATTTTTTTTCTCATCTTTTTTTTATATTGACGAGAAAAATGATTAAAGAGCATTTTAATTTTAATATTTATTTTTAAATTTAAAATGAAAAAATTGAATTAAAGCAGAGAACTTTGGTTAAATTTGATAATTGAGGGCTTAAAGGAAAAACAACATTAATCATATTTAGATTAATTCTGATTTTTGTATTTTCGGTTAATTCTGATTTTTATGTAGAAGAAATTCTGGCTGTACTTTAGCCGGTGGCCCACTCAGAAACTGGTCAAAATATATACCATTCGATTCGTCTCGGCGAGCTGAGTCGAATGGTACCACTCTTTTTTTGAGGAAATTCCTACGAGCCGAGATATAGGTCCTTGAAAACCGAAAAACCAAAGGGGGGACCAAGCACTTTTTTGGAGCGAAAAATTCGAATATGCAAATAATATCTCATTCAAAAGAGCTCGTCGAGCTGAGTCGAATGACACCAAAATCAACGAAATCCGACTTGAATGGTCAAAGTTATGATCTTTTATTTTAGCTCCTTACCTATGGCATCTGTGGAGATTTTTGCTACTACGGAGGCCCCAAATACGTCCAGAACAAGGGGGATAGGAATAGGTTTATGTTACGAGCCCAGACCCATAGCCCGTAGACTCCCCGTGAGGCGCGTGCCGCAAAACCCCGCGCGAAGCGCGGGGTTTTGCACAAGCGCCTCGCTGACGCCCCATAGGTTTAGGTTTTTTTTTTGTGTTGTGTTTTTAATTCCAAAAATCACCCCTTTGGATTACCAGTTTTCAGGGGTCTATATCTCGGTCCAATCAAGTCGGATTTCGTTGATTTTGGTGTCATTCGACTCAGCTCGACGAGCTCTTTCTAATGAGCTATTATTTGCATATTCTAATTTTTCACCCCAAAAAAGTGCTTGGTCCCTCCTATGGTTTTTCGCCTTTTAAGTACCTATATCTCGGCTCGTAGGAATTTCCGCAAAAAAAGAATGGTACCATTCGACTCAGCTCGCCGAGACGAATGGTATATATTTTGACCCGTTTCTGAGTGGGCCACCGGCTAAAGTATATCCGAAATTCTGATTTTTAACTGTTTTACTTGCTTTTTCCCTATGTCCATTTAATGTTTTTATTAAATTCTGATTTATTTTTAATTGTTTTGTGGTGTTTTGGTTAATTCTGATTTTTTGTTTTTGATTTTGTTGTAAATTCTGATTTTTTTGTTTGCAGCTAATTCTGATTTTTGTGTTTTTTGTAATTCTGATTAAACAAGTGGGAAGACAAACATTTGTATTTTCAGTTCTAACTAGAAAATTCTGATTTTTTCTGCTATGTTTTGTTTATCTGATGTTCGTTCAATGTTTAAATTAAATTCTGATTTGTTTTTAAATGTTTTAATTGTTTTCGGTTGTTTTGACGGGTGTTTTTGGAATATTCTGATTTTTGTTAATGTTTGTTTCTTCTCTATTCTTTTCCTACAAACACTATAATTTACTTTACAATTACAACAGTAACTAAACAATTATAGCCCTCACACCCGTAGGCAATAAATATATTGCAAATTGAGACTATTACCGAATTTTCTTTTCGAAATTAACAAATAATTTTTGAGAATAAATTTTGTCACAAAAATATTTATTTACAAAATTAAAACCAAAAATATCTTTACATAGCCAAAAAATCTGAACGAGTGGGGATTTTAAAGTCGTCGCGAAGAGTATACTAAAAATAATGAACGATTTTGTAAAGAAAAAATGGTACTTGTGGGTTATCCCAACCAGTTTTTGCGGATATACATATTTACTAATAATTATAATGGTTAGGGCATCCCTATGTGCCTTTTCCTATTCGAGAAAGTTTATGCGGGCATTTGGGGGATCCTCAAAAAATGTCAAAAAACTGGTTTGGGATAACCCACAAGTACCGAAAAAATAATGGAAATTAACCTCAACAGTCAAATTGGTATGACCACCAGGACGGTCCAAATGTGGAGGAAAGTTGACCCCGACCTAAAAAGATTAATATACGAAAATAATCTCTAAAAATTTTACATGTAATTTAACAATTCTATTTTGAATAAGTGGTATAACACGTTGTCGCCTATTAAAAGCAATTGTTCGTTCAAGCAGAAATTCTTCCATAAATTCATTCATGGGGAGTTGGAACTTTGAGTAATTTTCATACCAAATAATTATCGATCCTCGTCTCTTTCCGACCAGTGACACCTTAAAAGTTAGCGAGATTAAAAATGTGAAGGCTATTTAATAATTCATACATAATCAATATGCAATCCTTCTCTAAAATTCTCTACTGTTTGCCAGAATTGACCAACAGTTAAAGAAGAAAGACGCATAGCAGGTCCACCAATTGAATGTCTAGAAAAATCACTCATAATAAAAAAGAGATAGTTAAGGTTAGGTAATTATCTAAAATAAAATTTATTCAAAGAAAATTACTCATTCAAAGATATATTTGAATTTTGTGATCAAAATAAAATAAAAAAATTAAATTTAAAATTATTTATTCATAAATTATAGGCAAAAAATTTTTTTTAGCATTTCTTTTATCTTCCAAAATCGATGACAGAAGACACCTAACCCAGTAAAAGCCCCTCCTAAACATTAACCAAAAAAACCTAAATAGGCGTCCTTGTAAGGCTTTCCATTATCCAACGTTTCCAACGAAGCTAGCTCAACAGCATCTATTTCAATTAAAGAAGCCAATTTATTTAGTAAATGTCCACGGGATGAAGCATCCATCCGCCGCCATTCAGAGCCCAATTTGAAGGCATCACAAGCTGCCTGAAATTTATTTATAAATTTAAAAGGTAGAAAAACCGAAATTGCAAGAATGCTTCTTGGTAGAATAATAAAGAAAAGGGTCCAGAAAATTTATTTTTTTGAAAAATCCAAGAAACATATTTGACCCAAAACAACTTAAAACAGTCAAATAAAATCATTAACACCCAACAGGACTTGAACCCGAGACCCCTAAACTCCCAAACCAAACACATATCCACTACACAACAAACACAACTTTAGAAGTAAATGCATTAAACAACCTCAAAAAATTAACCTTAACATCAGCGTCAATATCAGCCTTATCCACTTCTTGCATTTGAGCAATCTTAGTTTTAGTCGACGGACCAAAAATCTTCGAAAAAAAAATTAAACAAAAATTTTCTAATTCAAAAAGAAAACCTCTTCTTGAGCAATTTTCATTTCAGATTTAACATTAGACAATATTGTTGGTTGAATAAAGTAACCATTATTTACTTCTTTTCCATTTTTTCCTCCTCTAGTAACTAATTTTGCGTCCTCTTTTTTGCCGTGCTCGATTAGGCGAAGAATTTTGGTTTCTTGATCACCATCAATTTAAGGTCCGTGGCTCAATGAAATCAACTGTTATTTGAAAGTCTAGAGTGACTCATAAATATAATTTTGTTTAGTAATTATCTAAAATTAAATTTATTCAAAAATTTGAGAAATTTTGTGACCAAAAATCAGCAATGATTTAAAAGAATAAAATTTGACATAAAAATATTTATTTACAAAATAAAACCAAAAATATTTTTATATTGCCAAAATCTTTTTTCGTCAAAAAACTCATAAACTTCGACAGAGTCAACGGTCCAGATGTTTAGGTATTTTAAAGTCGTCGCGAAGAGTATACTAAAAACTTAAAAATTTATTTAAAAAAACACTGGAAATTACCTCAACAACCAATTCGATAAAGCCGCCAGAAGGAAGGTTTAAACGTGGAGGAGTTTTGATCCCAACCTAAAAAATCAATATAACAAAAAAAACTATAGAAGCAATTATCCCATCACGCAAAAACTCTTCCATAAATTTATTCACGGGAAGTGGCTCCTTTGAAAACTTTTCATCCCAAATACCTGATATATTCTGCCTCTTGCAAACCATTACCACCTGAAAATTAATTTAGTAAAAAACATGTAGAAACTTTTTATTAATCTATACATCTTTAATATGCGATCCTTCTCTAAAATCCTCTACTGCCTGCTTGAACTGACCAACAGTTAAAGAGGAAAGACGCATATCAAACCCATTACTTGAATTTCCAGAAGAATCACTCATGATAAAAAAGTTATATTTAGTAATTATCTAAAATAAAATTTAAAAGCAAACTACATATATATTTGGAGATAAATGGAATTTTGTATTCAAAATCTAATAAATATTTAAAAAATCAGATTCAAAAATATTTATCAATAAAATAAGGCCACGAATAAAGATTTTTCTTTTATGTTGAGCAAAAATTTATAAAATAAGCAGTCAAAAATTTTAAAACAAAAATTAATTAAGGCCATCAAATCATCTGCAATCCTCTTCTCTAATATTGAGGAATGTCATAGTCAGATCGGTAGGTATACTAAAAGTTAAAGACAGGGCTCCGATCGACAAAATGCCACTCAAAAGTATCAAAATCTTGTAAAAAAAGTACATAGGGAGAAAATTTGCAAATAAAAAGTACACTCAAAATTAAATTTGAAAATATTTATTCGTGAACAGATCTTTTATATTTTTATATTTTTATATTTCTCTCCTAAATTAATCTTTTCTAATAATTTCTTGTTTCAACTGAGCATTTTGTTGACATGTCAAAATTTGCTGTCACATGAAGCAAAGCTCTTACAGTCTTAACCTCAAGCGAGTTTCTTTCTTTCGTCCATTGAATGTTTGCCATTGAGAAGCGCCGCAGGCGAAAATTTTTTGAAATTTGGAGCCTAAGAAGCCAGATTTCTTCTTTTTCAGCGCCGCAGGCGAAAATTTTGAGAATTTTGGAGGTCCTTAAGCCAGATTTCTTCGTTTTTTCAAAAATGTTGATAAAAAAGTACATACTTTCAAAAAAGTACAAATTCAATTTCGGAAGTACGTAGGTCGATAAAAAAGTACAATACTTTTAAAAAAGTACGAATCGGAGCCCTGGTTAAAGATTTTTTCTCAAAAGTCAGGGAAATTTAAAACAAATCTAAGAACACTATTTGAAAATCGAAAAGCAAAAAACGATTTTAGAAAAAAATTTCTAGTAGAAACTGAAATCATTCAAATTTCGCCTAGTATCAGGTAAAAGCCTATTAAAGTTATTTACCTATTCATTAGACATTAAAAATTAACCTCGACTCTAATCCAATTATTTGTTCCATCATTTACTACCCAAGTCGGAAGCAGAACATTGACCTGAATTATCAATTAAAAATAATCTTCTATCAAAAATTTACATAAAGAACGACTGTCCTTTCATAAAATAAAGGACGGCGAATATCTACATTTTCTTGTATGCGTTGATTGTTGAAAGCAATTATTCCATTATGAATGAACTCCTCCATTAAAGTCTCTGAAATGAACTCGGAGTGATCTTGATCCCAAACTACAATACGACCAACGACACCCTGCAGCTCAATCTTAATTAAATCACAATTACTAAAATTTAGAATCTACGCATTAATTTATACCCTTATCATTTGGTTGCCTCCTTGTCCATGCTCATCTATTGCTTCTTCAAAATCTTCAACCGATAATGCAGAAAGCATGAAAATATCACTACTCGAAGCACCAGAGGAGTTGGATGAGTCCATTATAAAATTTGATAAAAAAATCAAGACAATCTATTACCTTAAAATGAAATGATTAAAATTAAATTATTCAAAACAAAAAAAAATTGCGGAAATTTTCAACCGCTATTACAAAATTTTTGTCAAGCATAAATTATCAATATTTATTTAAAAATCAAAATTAGTATAAAATTGTCTACAAGACTTGAGCCAAAATATAAAAACCCGAATTCTTTGTAAACAAAGTTAACAAAATTAAAACCAAAAATATTTTTATATAGCCAAAAAATCGTTTTCGTCAAAAAATCCATAAAACGCAACTGAGTCAGCGGTCTAGATGTTTAGGTATTTTAAAATCGTCACGAAGAGTATACTAAAAAAGATTTTATAAATAAATAATAGAAATTAACCGCAACAGTTAAATTGATATGACCACCAGGACGGTCCAAATATGGAGAAAAGTTGACCCCGACCTAAACGATCAATATACAAAAATAACCTCTAAATATCTTACAGATAATTTGACCGTTCTATTTTCAATTAAAGGCATAGCTTCATGCAACTTGTAAGCACGTTTTCGCTGATTAAAAGCAATCGCCCCATCACGCAAAAACTCTTCCATAAATTCATTCACAGGAAGTGGGTCCTTTGAAGACATTTCATTCCAAATAAGTAACGACTTCCACCGTTTGCCATACATTGACAACTTAAGAATTAATTAAGTGAAAATACATGTGGAGTCTATTTAATAATTCATACATAATCAATATGAAATCCTTCTCTAAAATTCTCCACTGCTTTCCAGAATTGACCAACAGTTAAAGAAGAGAGACGCATAGCAGGTCCACCACTTGAATTTCTTGAAGAATCACTCATGATAAAAAAGGAAAGTTTAGGTTTAGAAGCCTTCTAAAATAAAATTTATTCAAAGCAAATTACTCTTTCAAAGATATATTTGAATTTTATGATCGAAATCAAATAAAAAATAAAAAAAAACGTAAAATTAAATTTAAAATTATTTATTCATAAATTATAGGCAATAAAATTTTTTGAGCATTTTTCTTTTAACTTTTCTTAATTCCAAAATCGATGACAGAAGACGCCTAACCCAATAAAGGCCCCTAACCCATTAACCAAAAACCTAAATAGGCATCCTTGTAAAACTTTCCACTATCCAAAGTTCAAAAGAAGCGAGCTCGACAGCACCTCTTTCAATTAAAAAAGCCAATTTATTTAGTAAATGTCCACGGGATGAAGCATCCATACGGCGCAAGTCTGAGCCGTTGAGGGCGTCACAAGCTGCCTAAAATTTAATTTTAAATTTCAAATGTAGTAAAACAGGGCTGGAAAAATCCTGCTAATCGGTAAAATAATTTAGAGAAGGGTCAGGAAAATTTGTAAATTTTTTCTGAAGCACTCAAGAAACATATTTAACCTAAAACAACCTAAACATAGCCAAATAAAATCATTAACACCCAACAGGACTCGAACCCGAGACCCCCCAAGTTGTCATATCAGACACACATCCACTACACCACAAACAAAATTTTCGAAATTTTTGACTAAACACCCTCAAAAAATTAACCTTAACATCAGCAACAAAATCAGTCTTATCCCCATATAACACTTGAGCAATTCTAGTTTTAGTCGACGGACCAAAAATCGTTGAAAAAAATTAAACAGAATTTTTTAAATTCAAAAAAACCTCTTATCGAGCAATTTTCTTTTCAGATTTAAAATCAGAAAATATTGTTGATTGAATAAAGTGACCATTATTTGCTTCTTTTCCATTTTTTCCACCTCCGGTAACAAATTTTGCGTATGCTTTTTTGCCTTGCTCGATTAGGCGAAGAATTTTAGTTTCTTGATCACCATCAATTTGAGGTCCGTGATTGACCGAAAGGGTTGCCCAATACGCGACTCTCTGCGAGAATCTTAAATATAAATAAAATTAAATTTTTGAAGTAAAAACTAGGCTTTGAAGCAAAAAAATAATAAAAATTGAAGCAAAAAAGAAAAAATTTTCGCTTCAAAAAAACTTGAAGCAAAAAAATGAAAAAAAATTTGAAGCAAAAAAATTGAAAGGAAAAACACTAGTAGCAAAAAAGAAAAAATAGAAGCAAGAAAGGGAAAAAACTTGAAACAAAAAATTTTTTTGCTTCAGAAAAAACTTGAAGTAAAAATCGAAGCAAAGGAAAAAACTTGAAGCAAAAAAGCTTCAAAAGACTTGAAGTAAAAATTGATGCAAAGGAAAGAAACTTGAAGCAAAAAATTTTTGCTTCGAATAAACTTGAAGCAAAAAAGAAAAAATTGAAGCAAAGGAAAACTTGAAGCAAAAAATAAAAAAACTTGAAGCATAAAATTTTTGCTTCGACCATTTAAAGTACAAGTTATAGCAAAGAAAAACAGAAAGAATGTTGAAGCAAGGAGATATAAGGAGCGAAAAAATGAAGTCGAAACAGAAAAATAAAATTGGAAGCAAAAGATCAAAATGAAAAAAGAAAATACAAAAATATAAAGCAAAAAATAAAAACATGAAGCAAAAAGATAAAACTTAAAAAATTAAACTTGAAGCAAAATAAAAACTCAAAAAACTTGCAAACCTTAGAAGCAAACTTTATTATTTAGCTTCAAGTTTACTTGTTCAACTATCGTAAACAAAGAAACTAAACTTGAAGCAAAAACTTGGAGCAAATTTTAATGAGCTTGAAACAAATTTATTTATTTTTGCTTCAAGTTTATTTTCACATAATTTATTCATTTGAAGCAAAAATACCCCTAATAAAAATTAACCTTTATCAACTTTAGGATGTGTAGCAATTGCCTTTCCAGCAGTTGGTCCATAACCAGGTACTATATTAACGACTCCAGGAGGGAAGCCAGCCTTCAAATTAAAAATTTTTTTAAAATTTATTAAAAAAATTTAACCTCTTTAATCAAATTAGCAACATATAGAGCCGTTAATGGAGTCTGTTCAGCTGGCTTCAAAATGACTGTGTTGCCCATAGCTAGGGCTGGTGCTAATTTCCAAGCTGAATTAAAAATTTGAATTAAAATTCAGCTGAATTAAAAATTTGAATTAAAATTCAGCTGAATTAAAAATTTTTTAGAAAAGCAATTTCTAAAAATTGAGAAAGGCTTTAAACTGGATATGACTTACAAGGAAGGAGACAGATATTCGGAGAACGGAGGTAGCAAGATTCATAGTGTGTTGTCAACTTCACAATGTAAACTTGCAAATTCTCCGAGGCGAAACAGCCCAGAGACGAACTGCGGAGTAGAAAGGGGCGCCGGAGGAAGACCTTCTTCGTTTCATAAGAACCTCACGTCCATTAGACGGAGGTCAGAAACAACTTTAGCAGAAAAATTAAAAACCTAAATAGGCGTCCTTGTAAGGCTTTCCATTATCCAAAGTCTCCAAAGAAGCTAGCTCAACAGCATCAATCAATTAAAGAAGCCAATTTATTTAGTAAATGTCCACGGGATGAAGCATCCATCCTGCGCCATTCAGAGTCTAATTTGAAGGCGTCACAAGCTGCCTAAAATATAATTTTAAATTTCAAATGTAGAAAAACAGGACTGGAAAAATCCTGCTAATTGGTAAAATAATTTAGAGAAGGGTCAGGAAAATTTGTAAATTTTTTCTGAAGCACTCAAGAAACATATTTAACCTAAAACAACTAAACATAGCCAAATAAAATCATTAACACCCAACAGGACTCGAACCCGAGACCCCCTAAGTTGTCATATCAGACACACCAGGGATGTCACGGGTTGAGAAAAATGTCGGGTCGGGTTTCGGGTCGGGTTTCCAAAATTTTTCTCGGATCGGGTTTCGGGTTTCGGGTTGAGCAAAAAGTCGGGTCGGGTTTCGGATCGGGTTTTCAAAATTTTCTTCGGATCGGGTTTCGGGTCGAAAAAAAGTCCGAGTATCTTCCCTTCTCAGCGCCGCAGGCGAAAAGTTTGAGAATTCTGGAAGGTCCGAAGCCAGATTTCTTCCTTTTTCAGCGCCGCAGGCGAAAATTTTCAGAATTTTGGAAGATCATTAAGCTAAAAATCTTCCCTTTTACTCCGACGAGGGCGAAAATTTTGAGAAAACTCGGGTCGGGTTTCGGGTCGGGTTTTGAAAAATAAAAATTCTCGGGTCGGGTTTCGGATCGGGTTTTAGAAAATTTCTCGGATCGGGTTTCGGGTCGAAAAAAAGGCCGGGTTTCGGGTTTCGGGTAACCCGTGACATCCCTGAGACACACATCCACTACACCACAAATAAATTTTCAAAATTTTTGACTAAACACCCTCAAAAAATTAACCTTAACATCAGCGTCAATATCAGCCTTATCCACTTCTTGCATTTGAGCAATCTTAGTTTTAGTCGACGGACCAAAAATCTTCGAAAAAAAAATTAAACAAAAATTTTCTAATTCAAAAAGAAAACCTCTTCTTGAGCAATTTTCATTTCAGATTTAACATTAGACAATATTGTTGGTTGAATAAAGTAACCATTATTTACTTCTTTTCCATTTTTTCCTCCTCTAGTAACTAATTTTGCGTCCTCTTTTTTGCCGTGCTCGATTAGGCGAAGAATTTTGGTTTCTTGATCACCATCAATTTAAGGTCCGTGGCTCAATGAAATCAACTGTTATTTGAAAGTCTAGAGTGACTCATAAATATAATTTTGTTTAGTAATTATCTAAAATTAAATTTATTCAAAAATTTGAGAAATTTTGTGACCAAAAATCAGCAATGATTTAAAAGAATAAAATTTGACATAAAAATATTTATTTACAAAATAAAACCAAAAATATTTTTATATTGCCAAAATCTTTTTTCGTCAAAAAACTCATAAACTTCGACAGAGTCAACGGTCCAGATGTTTAGGTATTTTAAAGTCGTCGCGAAGAGTATACTAAAAAAGATTTTATAAATAAATAATAGAAATTAACCGCAACAGTTAAATTGATATGACCACCAGGACGGTCCAAATATGGAGAAAAGTTGACCCCGACCTAAACGATCAATATACAAAAATAACCTCTAAATATCTTACAGATAATTTGACCGTTCTATTTTCAATTAAAGGCATAGCTTCATGCAACTTGTAAGCACGTTTTCGCTGATTAAAAGCAATCGCCCCATCACGCAAAAACTCTTCCATAAATTCATTCACGGGAAGTGGGTCCTTTGAAGACATTTCATCCCAAATAAGTAACGACTTCCACCGTTTGCCATACATTAACACCTTAGGAATTAAGTGAAAATACATGTAGAATCTATTTCAACAATATATACATCTGTAATATGCAATCCTTCTCTAAAATTTTCTACTGCCTGCCAGAACTGACCAACAGTTAAAGAAGAGAGACGCATAGCAGGTCCACCACTTGAATGTCCAGAAGAATCACTCATGATAAAAAAGCTTAGGTTAGGTAATTATCTAAAATAAAAGTTATTCAAAGCAAATTATCTATTAAAAAATATTTGAATTTTGTAGCCAAAATTTAAAAAAAAATAATTGTAAAATTAAAAATAATTTATCCATAAATTATAGGCAAAAAATTGAGCATTTTTCTTTTATTCCAAAACATTGAGATACTTGAGTTCATTCAAAATCGAATTTAATTGTCAACTTCCATATTTTCATTAAATGCAAAACCATCACGAAGCGTGTACTAAAAACATTTATTTTACTTTAGGAATTTAGATTATATTATTAACTGACTAGAAATTAGATTTGGCTCTCTCTATTTATCCGTGGCAGAAACATGGTGTCATTCGAAAGAGTTCGGAAAGCTGAGTCGAACTAGGGTGGCGAAGTTAGTCCGGAATCTAGGGACCGAGATATATATACCCGCCCATATGTTTACCTGGTTTATTTTTTTGTTGAGATGTTTAGGTATTTTAAAATCGTCACGAAGAGTATACTAAAAAAGATTTTATAAATAAATAATAGAAATTAACCGCAACAGTTAAATTGATATGACCACCAGGACGGTCCAAATATGGAGAAAAGTTGACCCCGACCTAAACGATCAATATACAAAAATAACCTCTAAATATCTTACAGATAATTTGACCGTTCTATTTTCAATTAAAGGCATAGCTTCATGCAACTTGTAAGCACGTTTTCGCTGATTAAAAGCAATTGTCCCATCACGCAGAAATTCTTCCATAAATTCATTAACTGGGATAGGGTTCTGATTGTTCCAAACATCAATATCCCCTTCAGTACCACGCATAGAGATCTTAATAGAATTAAAAAAAAATTCTACAGAATAATTTATACCTTAGCAAGCTGGTGTCCTCCAACCCCCCAATTTTGTACGGCTTGCCAAAACTGCCCAACAGTCAACGAACCAACAGTCAAGTCAAAAACTCCATCCTCGCTTGAGTAGCCTGACGATCCAGAAGATTCCATTAAAGTCAAAATTAAATTAAATTCTTTTTTTTTAGAATTAAAGCAATTCCTAAAAATGAAATGATTAAAATTAAATTATTTAAAAATAAAAAGATAATTTGCGGATTAAACGCAATTAGAAATTATTTCAAAGTTTAAATTAATCATTAAAATTTTATAAAAAATAAAAATGTGTAAAAAATTCAAGTATAAAGCTCATCCTCAAGAATTCTTTTGGGGAACCTTTAAAAATAAAAAAAATATTTAAAAAAATAAAAAAATTCTAACTTTAATTGTGACAGTCTTCACTTCTGTATAAGGCTCTAATCCATATTCACCCAATTCTCGACCAATGCCAGACATTTTATATCCACCAAATGGGGCAGCGGCATCGAAAACGTCATAGCAGTTTACCCTTAAAAGGAGAAAAAATTGTTTAAAAGCAGAGAAATTAGTTTTAGAAATGTTGGCAAAAATACATATAATCCCCCAAAACTGAAGCAAAAATTGAAAAAGAGAAAACTGATTCAAAAGAATTAAAAGAAAAAATCCAAAAACTGAAGAAAAACTTAAAGAAATCTTAAGCAAAATAAAATAGAGTTAGAACCCCAAAAGCAAATAATCCCCCTTAAAGAGAATCAAAAAAATCAAAAAAATAACCCAACAGTCCCAGCTCTGATATTGTTAGCTATATACAAAGCCTTGTCCATGTCTCGAGTAACCACACCAGCAGCCAATCCATAGCACGTCTCATTTGCTTTTTCTACCAAATCTTTTAGGTCATCAAATTTAATGATTGACATAACCGGGCCAAAAATCTTTGAAAAAAAATTTTTTGAAAAATTTTCCAAATTCAAAAAAACCTCTTCTTGAGCAATTTTCATTTCAGATTTAACATCAGAAAATATTGTTGGTTGAACATAATAACCATTATTTGCTTGTTTTCCAACAAATTTTCCTCCTCCAGTAACCAATTTTGCACCCTCTTTTTTGCCGTGCTCAATTAGACGAAGAATTTTTGTTTCTTGATCACCATCGATTTGTGGTCCGTGATTGACATTTAAGTCGAAAGGGTTGCCCAAAATACGACTCTCTGCGAGGATCTTAAAAATAAATAAAATTAAATTTTTGAAATAAAAACTAGGCTTTGAAGCAAAAAAATAATAAAACTTGAAGCAAAAAAATGAAAAAGAACGAAGCAAGAAAGGGAAAAAACTTAAAGCAAAAAATTTCTGCTTCAAAATACTTGAAGAAAAAAAATGAAAAAAAAAATTGAAGCAAAAAAGAAAAAATTTTTGCTTCAAAAAAACGAAGCAAAAAAATGAAAAAAAATTTGAAGCAAAAAATTGAAAGGAAAAACACTAGTAGCAAAAAAGAAAAAATAGAAGCAAGAAAGGGAAAAAACTTGAAACAAAAAATTTTTTGCTTCAGAAAAAACTTGAAGTAAAAATCGAAGCAAAGGAAAAAACTTGAAGCAAAAAATTTTTACTTCGAATAAACTTGAAGCAAAAAAGAAAAAAATTGAAGCAAAGGAAAACTTGAAGCAAAAAAGAAAAAAATTGAAGCAAAGGAAAACTTGAAGCAAAAAATAAAAAAAAACTTGAAGCATAAAATTTTTGCTTTGACCATTTAAAGTACAAGTTATAGCGAAAAAAAACAGAATGTTGAAGCAATGAGATATAAGGAGCGAAAAAATAAATCGAAACAGAAAAATAAAATAGGAAGCAAAAGATCAAAATGAAAAAAATAAAAATATGAAGCAATAAATAAAAAAACATGAAGCAAAAAGATAAAACTTCAAAAACTAAACTTGAAGCAAATAAAAACTCAAAAAACATGCAAACCTTAGAACGTTCCACAAATTCATCATAAATTTTAGATTCCACAAAAGTTCTCGAACCAGCACAACAACATTGTCCTTGATTGAAGAAGAGTCCAAAAGCAGCCTGTTCCACAGCAAGAGGCATGTCGGCATCAGAAAAGATTATATTTGGACTCTTTCCTCCAAGCTCCAGAGTTATTCTAAAAATTTGTTTCTACTTATTTAAATAAATAATTTAATTAACCGTTTCAAATTTGCTTCAGAACATTCACGCTTGACTTGTAGTCCAACCTCAGTTGAGCCAGTGAATGCAACTAGAAAAATATTAAAATTGAAGCAGAAATAAAAACAAGAATTGAAACAAGGAGGGGGGGGGGGAATAAAAAAATAAACTTGAAGCAAAAAATAAATATAATTGTGGAAAAATAAACTTGAAACAACTAAACACAAACATGAAATAAACTTAAATCGGAAACAAAAATAAACATAAAAATAAAACTTAAAGCAAAACAGAAAGATAAATAAACTTGAATCAAAAATAATCTTGAAATAAATAAAAAAACAAACTTGAAGCAAAAGTTTAATTTTTGCTTCAAGTTAATATGCCCAACTACCGTGAACAAAAAAATAAACTTGAATCAAAAACTTGAAGCAAATTTTAATAAACTTGAAATGGGGGCGAAAATAAACTTGGAAAAATAAATAAAATAAAACCTGAAGCAAATTTTAATAAACTTGAAACAACTTTATTTATTTTTGCTTCAAGTTTATTTCCCCACAATTTATACATTTTGAAACAGAAAAAAATTAACCTTTATCAACTTTAGGGTGTGTAGCAAGTGCCTTTCCAGCAGTAGGTCCATAACCAGGCACTATATTAACGACTCCTGGAGGGAAACCAGCCTTCAAATTAAAAAAATTTTTTTTTAATTTAATTGAAAAAAATTTAACCTCTTTAATTAAATTAGCAACATACAGAGCCGTCAATGGAGTCTGTTCAGCTGGCTTTAAAATGACTGTGTTTCCCATAGCCAGGGCTGGTGCTAATTTCCAAGCTTGCATGAGAAGAGGGAAGTTCCACGGAATGATTTGGCCTGTAAATTGAAAAATTTTTGAAAATTTAAAAATCATTTCAAAATGTCAAAAAATTAAAAAAATTCCAAAATGTCAACTTCTCAATGCTGGTCAAAAAATTTTCACCTACCAACAACTCCAACAGGCTCATGACGTGTATAACAAAAATAATCGCCTCCAATGGGTATGGTCTTCCCATGGTTTTTGTCTGCCCAACCGGCATAATAGCGATAAACGGCAATTGAGAGAGGCAGGTCAGCTGAATTAAAAATTTTTAGAAAAGCAATTTCTAAAAATTGAGGGGGAACCCTACAAGAGAGGGAAAAGATATACGGAGAATGGAGGTATGGAAGTGAGGTCCGGTATAATTTCGGAATACTAAACAGACTCCGATTGGGACAAATTATATGTCATTCGACTCAGCTCGGCGAGCTGACAAGGGAACATTCCGAACTGTCAGTAAAAATTTCTAAATAAAAATTATACCATCGTGTAGAGCGTGGTCGAAAACGTACTATGGTAACTTTCTTTTTTGGCTCCGACCCCCATTTCGAAAAGTTATAGGGGTTCAAAGTTTCCTACTTTTGGAACGGTTGAGTCTTTTATTAAAGAAAATTTTTCTCCTCCATAAGAGAAAAATAAGACTCCCATCCTCCTTTTTTCATTTCCTTTTCTTTTCCAACATTAGTTAGAGAAAGAGAAAAGGGGGAGAGAAAAGAAAAGGAAAAGAGGCGTCTCTGCCTTGCATTTAATGTCAATTAAAAGGAAAGAGGAGAGGGCAGAGATGCCTCTTTTCCTACCTTTTCTCTCCTCTTTTTCTCTTTCTTTAACCAGCACAGGAAAAGAAGAGGAAAGAAATAAAAAAGAAAAGGAGTCTCATTTTTCCCTTTAGGAAGAGAAATAATAAGAAAAGTGAGGGCGACTCAATCGTTCTAAAAGTAGGAAACTTTGAACCCCTATAACTTTTCGAAATGGGGGTCGAAGCCAAAAAAGAAAGTAACCATAATACGTTTTCGACCACGCTCTACACGATGGTATAATTTTTATTTAGAAATTTTTACTGACAGTTCGGAATGTTCCCTTGTGAGTCGAATGACATCAAAATATCGATTGGGACGTAACTATGTGCCGAGTTATAGGTCCCGAAAAATTGAAAACCATAGGGGGGACCAAGCACTTTTTTGGGGTGAAAAATTCGAATATGCAAATATTAGCTCTTCAAGCTGAGTCGAATGACACCAAAATCAGCGAAATCCGACTTGTTTTGACAAAGTTATGCTCGTTTGTTTTAGCTCCTTACCTATGGCTTCCGTGGATGTTCCTGCTGCTGCGGAGGAAGCCGGGCATGCCCATCAAAGCGATAATTGGAATAGAATTAAGTTACGAGCCCAGACCCAGCGCCCGTAGACTCCCCGCGAGGCGCGTGCCCAATCGAAGTCTGTTTAGTATTCCGAAATTATTCCGTGAGGTCCTTGTGAGAAGGACATATTTGACCCGAAACAAGTCATAGTGTGTTGTCAAACTGCACAATAAAAATTTTTCACATTCTACAAGGGGAAACAGCCCGGAGACGAAAGGCGGGAAAGAAAAAGGTCGCTGAAGACCTCCTCTCACAAGGACCTCACTTCCATTAGACGGAGGTCGAAAACAACTTAACCCAAAAATTAGAATAAAAACCTAAATAGGCGTCCTTGTAAGGCTTTCCATTATCCAATGTCTCCAAAGAAGCTAGCTCAACAGCATCCCTCTCAATTAAAAAAGCCAATTTATTTAGTAAAAGTCCACGGGCTGAAGCATCCATACGACGCCATTCTGAGCCCAATTTGAAGGCGTCACAGGCAGCCTAAAAAATTTTTATTTAATTAAAAAAGGGGAGAAGGATGACGGGGAGATTACCATCTCACAATCAGCATTAAGGTCGGAAAAGGGGTCCAGAAAATTAAAAAAATTTTCTGAAAAACAAGAAACATATTTGACCTAAAACAAGTCAAAAACAGTCAAATAAAATAGTTAGCCCCCAACAGGACTCGAACCCGAGACCCCCTAAGTTGTCGTACCAAATACACATCCACTACACCACAAGCACAAATTTCGAAATTTTTGCAGTAAATAATCTCACAAGAATTAACCTTAACAGCAGCGTCAATATCAGCCCTATCCCCCTCTTGCACTTTCGCAATTTTAGTTTTAGTCGACGGTTTTAGTCGACATTCTGAGCCCAATTTGAAGGCATCACAAACTGCCTGAAATTTATTTTTAAATTTAAAATGTAAAAAAACAGGACTGAAAAAATCCTGCTCATTGGTAAAATAATTTAGAAAAGGGTCCAGAAAATTAAAAAAAAAATTTTTTGAAGCGCTCAAGAAACATATTTGACTTAAAACAACCTAAAAATAGCCAAATAAAATTATTAACACCTGAAGGATTCGAACCCTAGACCCCCAAACCAAGCACACATGCACCACACCACAAGCACAATTTTCGAAATTTTTGCACTAAACACCCTCAAAAAATTAACCTTAACATCAACAACAAAATCATTCTTATCCCCATATTGCACTTCAGCAATTTTAGTTTTAGTCGACGGACCAAAAATCTTTGAAAAAATTTTTTTCGTTTTTTAAATTAAAAAAAACCTCTTCTTGAGCAATTTTCATTTCAGATTTAACATCACAAAATATTGTTGGTTGAACAAAATAACCATTATTTGCTTCTTTTCCAACAAACTTTCCTCCTCCAGTAACTAATTTTGTGCCCTCTTTTTTGTCTGTGCTCGATTAGTCGAAGAATTTTGATTTCTTGATCACCTCAATGAAATCACAGTTATTTGAAAGTGTAGAGTGAAATTTCACTCATAATTTTATGTTTAGCAATTATCTAAAATTAAATTTGTTCAAAAATTTAAGGAATTTTATGATCAAAATCCTGAACTGATTTTTGAAAGTAAATTTTGACATAGATATATTTATTCACAAAATTAAAACCAAAAATATTTTTATATTGCCAAAAAATCTTTTTAGTCAAAAAATCCATAAAATACAACAAAACTAGTCAGCGGCTTAGACGGTTGGGGATTTTAAAATCGTCGCGAAGAGTATACTAAAAAATTAAAAATTTTGTAAAGGAATTTGTAACGGAAATTAACCTCAACTTTCAAATTGATATGACCACCAGGACAGTCCAAAAATGCAGGAAAGCTGACCCCGACCTAAAAGATAAATGTACAAAAAAACCCCCAACGATTTTACATGTAAGGTGACCGTTCTATTTTGAATAAGTGGTATAGCACGTTGTCGCCGATTAAAAACAATTGTTCGTTCAAGCAGAAATTCTTCCATAAATTCATTCATGGGGAGTTGGAACTTTGAATACTTTTCATACCAAATAATTATCAACCCCCGTCTCTTTCTATCCATTGACATCTTAAAATTTATCGGAATTAAAAATGTGGAATCTACTCAATAATCTATACATCTGTAATATGCAATTCTTCTCTAAAATTCTCCACTGCTTTCCAGAATTGACCAACAGTTAAAGAAGAGAGACGCATAACAGGTCCACCACTTGAATTTCCCGAAGAATGACTCATGATAAAAGAGGAAAGTTTAGGTTTAGAAGCCTTCTAAAATAAAATTTATTCAAAGGAAATTACTCATTTAAAGATATTTGAATTTTGTGATCGAAATCAAAAATAAAAAAAACATAAAATTAAATTTAAAATTATTTATTCATAAATTATGGGCAAAAAAATTTTTTATCTTCCAAAATCGATGACAGAAGACACCTAACCCAGTAAAGGCCCCTAACCCATTAACCAAAAAAACCTAAATAGGCGTCCTTGTAAGGCTTTCCATTATCCAACGTTTCCAACGAAGCTAGCTCAACAGCATCTATTTCAATAAAGAAGCCAATTTATTTAGTAAATGTCCACGGGATGAAGCATCCATCCGCCGCCATTCAGAGCCCAATTTGAAGGCATCACAAGCTGCCTGAAATTTATTTATAAATTTAAAAGGTAGAAAAACCGAAATTGCAAGAATGCTTCTTGGTAGAGTAATAAAGAAAAGGGTCCAGAAAATTTATTTTTTTGGAAAATCCAAGAAACATATTTGACCCAAAACAACTTAAAACAGTCAAATAGAATCATTAACACCCAACAGGACTCGAACCCGAGACCCCTAAACTCCCAAACCAAACACATATCCACTACACAACAAACACAACTTTAGAAGTAAATGCATTAAACAACCTCAAAAAATTAACCTTAACATCAGCGTCAATATCAGCCTTATCCACTTCTTGCATTTGAGCAATCTCAGTTTTAGTCGACGGACCAAAAATCTTCGAAAAAAAAATTAAACAAAAATTTTCTAATTCAAAAAGAAAACCTCTTCTTGAGCAATCTTCATTTCAGATTTAACATTAGACAATATTGTTGGTTGAACAAAGAAACCATTATTTGCTTCTTTCCCAACAAATTTTCCTCCTCCAGTAACTAATTTTGTGCCCTCTTTTTTGTTGTGCTTGATTAGTCGAAGAATTTTGATTTCTTGATCACCATCAATTTGAGGTCCGTGGCTCAATGAATCCAACTGTTATTTGAAAGTCCAGAGTGAAATTCCACTCATAATTTTAGGTTTAGAAATTAACTTAAATTCAAAAATTTGAGGAATTTTGTGACCAAAAATCAGCAATGATTTAAAAGAATAAAATTTGACATAAAAATATTTATTTACAAAATAAAACCAAAAATATTTTTATATTGCCAAAAAATCTTTTCAAAAAACCCATAAACTTCAACAAAATCAACGGTCTAGATGTTTAGGTATTTTAAAGTCGTCGCGAAGTGTATACTAAAAATTTGAGATTTTATTTAAAATAATTATGGAAATTACCTCAACAACCAATTCGATAAAGCCGCCAGAAGGAAGGTTTAAACGTGGAGGAGTTTTGATCCCAACCTAAAAAATCAATATAACAAAAAAAACTAGAAAGATTTTACATATAAGGTGACAGTTCTATTTTGAATAAGTGGTGTAACTAGATGAAACTTGCAAGCACGTTTAAGCCGATTAGAAGCAATTATCCCATCACGCAAAAACTCTTCCATAAATTTATTCACGGGAAGTGGCTCCTTTGAAAACTTTTCATCCCAAATACCTGATATATTCTGCCTCTTGCAAACCATTACCACCTGAAAATTAATTTAGTAAAAAACATGTAGAAACTTTTTATTAATCTATACATCTTTAATATGCGATCCTTCTCTAAAATCCTCTACTGCCTGCTTGAACTGACCAACAGTTAAAGAGGAAAGACGCATATCAAACCCATTACTTGAATTTCCAGAAGAATCACTCATGATAAAAAAGTTATATTTAGTAATTATCTAAAATAAAATTTAAAAGCAAACTAAATATATATTTGGAGATAAATGGAATTTTGTATTCAAAATCTAATAAATATTTAAAAAATCAGATTCAAAAATATTTATCAATAAAATAAGGCCACGAATAAAGATTTTTCTTTTATGTTGAGCAAAAATTTATAAAATAAGCAGTCAAAAATTTTAAAACAAAAATTAATTAAGGCCATCAAATCATCTGCAATCCTCTTCTCTAATATTGAGGAATGTCATAGTCAGATCGGTAGGTATACTAAAAGTTAAAGATTTTTTCTCAAAAGTCAGGGAAATTTAAAACAAATCTAAGAACACTATTTGAAAATCGAAAAGCAAAAAACGATTTTAGAAAAAAATTTCTAGTAGAAACTGAAATCATTCAAATTTCGCCTAGTATCAGGTAAAAGCCTATTAAAGTTATTTACCTATTCATTAGACATTAAAAATTAACCTCGACTCTAATCCAATTATTTGTTCCATCATTTACTACCCAAGTCGGAAGCAGAACATTGACCTGAATTATCAATTAAAAATAATCTTCTATCAAAAATTTACATAAAGAACGACTGTCCTTTCATAAAATAAAGGACGGCGAATATCTACATTTTCTTGTATGCGTTGATTGTTGAAAGCAATTATTCCATTATGAATGAACTCCTCCATTAAAGTCTCTGAAATGAACTCGGAGTGATCTTGATCCCAAACTACAATACGACCAACGACACCCTGCAGCTCAATCTTAATTAAATCACAATTACTAAAATTTAGAATCTACGCATTAATTTATACCCTTATCATTTGGTTGCCTCCTTGTCCATGCTCATCTATTGCTTCTTCAAAATCTTCAACCGATAATGCAGAAAGCATGAAAATATCACTACTCGAAGCACCAGAGGAGTTGGATGAGTCCATTATAAAATTTGATAAAAAAATCAAGACAATCTATTACCTTAAAATGAAATGATTAAAATTAAATTATTCAAAACAAAAAAAAATTGCGGAAATTTTCAACCGCTATTACAAAATTTTTGTCAAGCATAAATTATCAATATTTATTTAAAAATCAAAATTAGTATAAAATTGTCTACAAGACTTGAGCCAAAATATAAAAACCCGAATTCTTTGTAAACAAAGTCATCCTCTTCAGGAATTCTTTTGAGAAACCTTTAAAATTAAAAAAGCTTCCAAAAAAATCTAAAATATCCTAACCTTAATAGTCACAGTCTTTACTTCTGTATATGGCTCTAATCCATATTCACCCAATTCCCGGCCAATTCCAGACATTTTATATCCACCAAATGGAGCAGCGGCGTCGAAGACGTCGTAGCAGTTTACCCTTTAAAGGAGAAAAATTGATTAAAAGCGTAGAAATTAGTTTTAGGAATGTTAGTGAAAAATGAAATTTAATCCTCCAAATCTGAAGCAAAAATTGAAAAAGAGAAAACTGATTCAAAAGAATTAAAAGAAAAAATCCAAAAACTGAAGAAAAACTTAAGAAAGTAGATTTAGAACAAAAACCCTAAAATTCAATAATCCCCCTTAAAGAGAATCAAAAAAAATATTAAAAAACTAACCAAACAGTTCCAGCTCTGATATTGTTAGCTATATACAAAGCTTTGTCCATGTCTCGAGTAACCACACCAGCAGCCAATCCATAGCAAGTCTCATTTGCTTTTTCCACCAAATCTTTGAGGTCATCAAATTTAATGATTGACATAACTGGACCAAAAATCTTTGAAAAAAATTTTTTTTGTTTTTTAAATTCAAAAAAACCTCTTCTTGGGCAATTTTCATTTCAGATTTAACATCAGAAAATATTGTTGGTTGAACATAATAACCATTATTTGCTTGTTTTCCAACAAATTTTCCTCCTCCAGTAACCAATTTTGCACCCTCTTTTTTGCCGTGCTCAATTAGACGAAGAATTTTTGTTTCTTGATCACCATCGATTTGTGGTCCGTGATTGACATTTAAGTCGAAAGGGTTGCCCAAAATACGACTCTCTGCGAGGATCTTAAAAATAAATAAAATTAAATTTTTGAAGTAAAAACTAGGCTTTGAAGCAAAAAAATAATAAAACTTGAAGCAAAAAAATGAAAAAGAACGAAGCAAGAAAGGGAAAAAACTTAAAGCAAAAAATTTCTGCTTCAAAATACTTGAAGAAAAAAAATGAAAAAAAATTGAAGCAAAAAAGAAAAAAATTTTTGCTTCAAAAAAACGAAGCAAAAAAATGAAAAAAAATTTGAAGCAAAAAAATTAAAAGGAAAAACACTAGTAGCAAAAAAGAAAAAATAGAAGCAAGAAAGGGAAAAAACTTGAAACAAAAAATTTTTTGCTTCAGAAAAAACTTGAAGTAAAAATCGAAGCAAAGGAAAAAACTTGAAGCAAAAAAGCTTCAAAAGACTTGAAGTAAAAATTGATGCAAAGGAAAGAAACTTGAAGCAAAAAATTTTTGCTTCGAATAAACTTGAAGCAAAAAAGAAAAAAATTGAAGCAAAGGAAAACTTGAAGCAAAAAATAAAAAAAACTTGAAGCATAAAATTTTTGCTTTGACCATTTAAAGTACAAGTTATAGCGAAAAAAAACAGAATGTTGAAGCAATGAGATATAAGGAGCGAAAAAGTAACAGAAAATAAGTCGAAACAGAAAAATAAAATAGGAAGCAAAAAATCAAAATGAAAAAAGAAATATAAGCAAAAAATATAAAGCAAAAAATAAAAAAACATAAAGCAAAAAAACCTCAAAATTAAACATAAAGCAAAATAAAAACTCAAAAAACTTGCAAACCTTAGAACGTTCCACAAATTCATCATAAATTTTAGATTCCACAAAAGTTCTCGAACCAGCACAACAACATTGGCCTTGATTGAAAAAGAGTCCAAAAGCAGCCTGTTCCACCGCAAGAGGCATGTCGGCATCAGAAAAGATTATATTTGGACTCTTTCCTCCAAGCTCCAGAGTTATTCTAAAAATTTGTTTCTACTTATTTACATAAATAATTTAATTAACCGTTTCAAATTTGCTTCAGAACATTCACGCTTGACTTGTAGTCCAACCTCAGTTGAGCCAGTGAATGCAACTAGAAAAATATTAAAGTTGAAGCAGAAATAAAAACAAGAATTGAAACAAGGAGGGGGGGGAATAAAAAAAATAAACTTGAAGCAAAAAATAAATATAATTGTGGAAAAATAAACTTGAAACAACTAAACACAAACATGAAATAAACTTAAATCGGAAACAAAAATAAACATAAAAATAAAACTTAAAGCAAATCAGAAAGATAAATAAACTTGAATCAAAAACTTGAAGCAAATTTTAATAAACTTGAAATGGGGGCGAAAATAAACTTGGAAAAATAAATAAAATAAAACTTGAAGCAAATTTTAATAAACTTGAAACAACTTTATTTATTTTTGCTTCAAGTTTATTTTCCCACAATTTATTCATTTGAAGCAAAAATTCTATTATAAAATTAACCTTTATCAACTTTAGGATGTGTAGCAAGTGCCTTTCCAGCTGTTGGTCCATAACCAGGCACTATATTAACGACTCCTGGAGGGAAACCAGCCTTCAAATTAAAAATTAAAAAAAAATTTTATTTAAAAAATTTAACCTCTTTAATCAAATTGGCAACATACAGAGCCGTTAATGGAGTTTGTTCAGCTGGTTTTAAAATAACTGTGTTGCCCATTGCCAAGGCTGGTGCTAACTTCCAAGCTTGCATAAGCAGAGGGAAGTTCCACGGAATGATTTGGCCTGTAAATTGAAAAATTTTTGAAAATTTAAAAATCATTTCAAAATGTCGAAAAATTAAAAAAATTCCAAAATGTCAACTTCTCGATGCTGGTCAAAAAATTTTCAAAAAAAATTTTCACCTACCAACAACTCCAACAGGCTCATGACGTGTATAACAAAAATAATCGCCTCCTATAGGTATTGTCTTTCCATGGTTTTTGTCTGCCCAACCAGCATAATAGCGATAAACGGCAATTGAGAGAGGCAGGTCAGCTGAATTAAATTTTTTAAAAAGAAATTTTAAAAGTTGAGAAAGGCCTTAAACTAGGATGTGACCTTACAAGAGAGGGGAAAGATATACGGAGAATGGAGGTAGCAAGATTTACAGTGTATTGTCAAACTGGACAATAAAAATTTTCAAATTCCAGAGGGGAAACAGCCCGGAGACGAACTGCAGGGAAAAAAGGAGCCAAGGTGGAAGACCTCCTCCGTTTCACAAGGACCTCACTCCATTAGACGGAGGTTAAAAACAACTTAAGCCAAAAAATAAAATGAAAACCTAAATAGGCGTCCTTGTAAGGCTTTCCATTATCCAATGTCTCCAAAGAAGCTAGCTCAACAGCATCCCTCTCAATTAAAGAAGCCAATTTATTTAATAGATGTCCACGGGCTGAGGCATCCATCCGACGCCAAGCCTAATTTGAAGGCATCACAAGCTGCCTAAAATTTATATTTTTAATTCAACGGTAAAAAAGAACTGAAAGAATGCTCGCACCCAATTGATAAATATAAGTTTATAAAAAGCCAAGAAAATTAAAAGAATTTTTTTTGAAAACTCCAAGAAACGACCTAAAACAAGTCAAAAACAGTCAAATAAAATCGTTGGCCCCCAACAGGACTCGAACCCGAGACCCCCTAAGTTGTCATATCAGACACACATCCACTACACCACAAACAAAATTTTCGAAATTTTTGACTAAACACCCTCAAAAAATTAACCTTAACATCAATATCAGCCGTATCCCCCTCCTGCACTTCAGAAATTCTAGTTTTAGTCGACGGACCAAAAATCTTTGAAAAAATTTTTTGAAAAATTTTTTTAAATTCAAAAAAACCTCTTCTTGAGCAATTTTCATTTCAGATTTTACATCAGAAAATATTGTTGGTTGAACAAAGTAACCATTATTTGCTTCTTTTCCATTTTTTCCTCCTCCAGTAACTAATTTTGTGCCCTCTTTTTTGTCTGTGCTTGATTAGTCGAAGAATTTTGATTCCTTGATCACCATCAATTTGAGGTCCGTGGCTCAATGAATCCAACTGTTATTTGAAAGTCCAGAGTGAAATTCCACTCATAATTTTAGGTTTAGAAATTAACTTAAATTCAAAAATTTGAGGAATTTTGTACCAAAAATCAGCAATGATTTAAAAGAATAAAATTTGACATAAAAATATTTATTTACAAAATAAAACCAAAAATATTTTTATATTGCCAAAAAATCTTTTTTCGTCAAAAAACTCATAAACTTCGACAGAGTCAACGGTCCAGATGTTTAGGTATTTTAAAGTCGTCGCGAAGAGTATACTAAAAACTTAAAAATTTATTTAAAAAAACACTGGAAATTACCTCAACAACCAATTCGATAAAGCCGCCAGAAGGAAGGTTTAAACGTGGAGGAGTTTTGATCCCAACCTAAAAAATCAATATAACAAAAAAAACTAGAAAGATTTTACATATAAGGTGACAGTTCTATTTTGAATAAGTGGTGTAACTAGATGAAACTTGCAAGCACGTTTAAGCCGATTAGAAGCAATTATCCCATCACGCAAAAACTCTTCCATAAATTTATTCACGGGAAGTGGCTCCTTTGAAAACTTTTCATCCCAAATACCTGATATATTCTGCCTCTTGCAAACCATTACCACCTGAAAATTAATTTAGTAAAAAACATGTAGAAACTTTTTATTAATCTATACATCTTTAATATGCGATCCTTCTCTAAAATCCTCTACTGCCTGCTTGAACTGACCAACAGTTAAAGAGGAAAGACGCATATCAAACCCATTACTTGAATTTCCAGAAGAATCACTCATGATAAAAAAGTTATATTTAGTAATTATCTAAAATAAAATTTAAAAGCAAACTAAATATATATTTGGAGATAAATGGAATTTTGTATTCAAAATCTAATAAATATTTAAAAAATCAGATTCAAAAATATTTATCAATAAAATAAGGCCACGAATAAAGATTTTTCTTTTATGTTGAGCAAAAATTTATAAAATAAGCAGTCAAAAATTTTAAAACAAAAATTAATTAAGGCCATCAAATCATCTGCAATCCTCTTCTCTAATATTGAGGAATGTCATAGTCAGATCGGTAGGTATACTAAAAGTTAAAGATTTTTTCTCAAAAGTCAGGGAAATTTAAAACAAATCTAAGAACACTATTTGAAAATCGAAAAGCAAAAAACGATTTTAGAAAAAAATTTCTAGTAGAAACTGAAATCATTCAAATTTCGCCTAGTATCAGGTAAAAGCCTATTAAAGTTATTTACCTATTCATTAGACATTAAAAATTAACCTCGACTCTAATCCAATTATTTGTTCCATCATTTACTACCCAAGTCGGAAGCAGAACATTGACCTGAATTATCAATTAAAAATAATCTTCTATCAAAAATTTACATAAAGAACGACTGTCCTTTCATAAAATAAAGGACGGCGAATATCTACATTTTCTTGTATGCGTTGATTGTTGAAAGCAATTATTCCATTATGAATGAACTCCTCCATTAAAGTCTCTGAAATGAACTCGGAGTGATCTTGATCCCAAACTACAATACGACCAACGACACCCTGCAGCTCAATCTTAATTAAATCACAATTACTAAAATTTAGAATCTACGCATTAATTTATACCCTTATCATTTGGTTGCCTCCTTGTCCATGCTCATCTATTGCTTCTTCAAAATCTTCAACCGATAATGCAGAAAGCATGAAAATATCACTACTCGAAGCACCAGAGGAGTTGGATGAGTCCATTATAAAATTTGATAAAAAAATCAAGACAATCTATTACCTTAAAATGAAATGATTAAAATTAAATTATTCAAAACAAAAAAAAATTGCGGAAATTTTCAACCGCTATTACAAAATTTTTGTCAAGCATAAATTATCAATATTTATTTAAAAATCAAAATTAGTATAAAATTGTCTACAAGACTTGAGCCAAAATATAAAAACCCGAATTCTTTGTAAACAAAGTCATCCTCTTCAGGAATTCTTTTGAGAAACCTTTAAAATTAAAAAAGCTTCCAAAAAAATCTAAAATATCCTAACCTTAATAGTCACAGTCTTTACTTCTGTATATGGCTCTAATCCATATTCACCCAATTCCCGGCCAATTCCAGACATTTTATATCCACCAAATGGAGCAGCGGCGTCGAAGACGTCGTAGCAGTTTACCCTTTAAAGGAGAAAAATTGATTAAAAGCGTAGAAATTAGTTTTAGGAATGTTAGTGAAAAATGAAATTTAATCCTCCAAATCTGAAGCAAAAATTGAAAAAGAGAAAACTGATTCAAAAGAATTAAAAGAAAAAATCCAAAAACTGAAGAAAAACTTAAGAAAGTAGATTTAGAACAAAAACCCTAAAATTCAATAATCCCCCTTAAAGAGAATCAAAAAAAATATTAAAAAACTAACCAAACAGTTCCAGCTCTGATATTGTTAGCTATATACAAAGCTTTGTCCATGTCTCGAGTAACCACACCAGCAGCCAATCCATAGCAAGTCTCATTTGCTTTTTCCACCAAATCTTTGAGGTCATCAAATTTAATGATTGACATAACTGGACCAAAAATCTTTGAAAAAAATTTTTTTTGTTTTTTAAATTCAAAAAAACCTCTTCTTGGGCAATTTTCATTTCAGATTTAACATCAGAAAATATTGTTGGTTGAACATAATAACCATTATTTGCTTGTTTTCCAACAAATTTTCCTCCTCCAGTAACCAATTTTGCACCCTCTTTTTTGCCGTGCTCAATTAGACGAAGAATTTTTGTTTCTTGATCACCATCGATTTGTGGTCCGTGATTGACATTTAAGTCGAAAGGGTTGCCCAAAATACGACTCTCTGCGAGGATCTTAAAAATAAATAAAATTAAATTTTTGAAGTAAAAACTAGGCTTTGAAGCAAAAAAATAATAAAACTTGAAGCAAAAAAATGAAAAAGAACGAAGCAAGAAAGGGAAAAAACTTAAAGCAAAAAATTTCTGCTTCAAAATACTTGAAGAAAAAAAATGAAAAAAAATTGAAGCAAAAAAGAAAAAAATTTTTGCTTCAAAAAAACGAAGCAAAAAAATGAAAAAAAATTTGAAGCAAAAAAATTAAAAGGAAAAACACTAGTAGCAAAAAAGAAAAAATAGAAGCAAGAAAGGGAAAAAACTTGAAACAAAAAATTTTTTGCTTCAGAAAAAACTTGAAGTAAAAATCGAAGCAAAGGAAAAAACTTGAAGCAAAAAAGCTTCAAAAGACTTGAAGTAAAAATTGATGCAAAGGAAAGAAACTTGAAGCAAAAAATTTTTGCTTCGAATAAACTTGAAGCAAAAAAGAAAAAAATTGAAGCAAAGGAAAACTTGAAGCAAAAAATAAAAAAAACTTGAAGCATAAAATTTTTGCTTTGACCATTTAAAGTACAAGTTATAGCGAAAAAAAACAGAATGTTGAAGCAATGAGATATAAGGAGCGAAAAAGTAACAGAAAATAAGTCGAAACAGAAAAATAAAATAGGAAGCAAAAAATCAAAATGAAAAAAGAAATATAAGCAAAAAATATAAAGCAAAAAATAAAAAAACATAAAGCAAAAAAACCTCAAAATTAAACATAAAGCAAAATAAAAACTCAAAAAACTTGCAAACCTTAGAACGTTCCACAAATTCATCATAAATTTTTGATTCCACAAAAGTCCTCGAACCAGCACAACAACATTGGCCTTGATTGAAAAAGAGTCCAAAAGCAGCCTGTTCCACCGCAAGAGGCATGTCGGCATCAGAAAAGATTATATTTGGACTCTTTCCTCCAAGCTCCAGAGTTATTCTAAAAATTTGTTTCTACTTATTTACATAAATAATTTAATTAACCGTTTCAAATTTGCTTCAGAACATTCACGCTTGACTTGTAGTCCAACCTCAGTTGAGCCAGTGAATGCAACTATAAAAATAATAAAGTTGAAGCAAAAGTAAAAACAAGAATTGAAACGGAGGGGAAAATAAAAAATAAACTTAAAACAGAAATTTGAAGCAAAAAATAAATAAAATTGGAAAAAGAGAAACTTGAAGCAAATAAACACTCAAAATAAACTTAAATCGGAAATATAAGAATAAAACAGAAAGATAAATAAACTTGAATCAAAAATAAACTTGAAATAAATAAAAGAAACAAACTTGAAGCTAAATTTAATTTTTTTATGCTTCAAGTTTACTTGTTAAACTATCGTAAACAAAAAATAAACTTGAAACAAGGGCAGAAAATAAACTTGGAAAAATAAATAAAATAAAACTTGAAGCAAAAACTTGAAGCAAATTAAAAACAAACTTGAAACAAATTTATTTATTTTTGCTTCAAGTTTATTTTCCCAAAATTTATTCATTTCAAGCAAAAATACCCTATAATAAAATTAACCTTTATCCACTTTAGGATGTGTAGCAAGTGCCTTTCCAGCAGTTGGTCCAAAACCAGGCACAATATTAACGACTCCTGGAGGGAAACCAGCCTTCAAATCGAAAATTTTTTTAAAATTTGATTAAGAAAATTTAACCTCTTTAATTAAATTAGCAACATACAGAGCCGTTAACGGAGTCTGTTCAGCTGGCTTCAAGATAACTGTGTTGCCCATAGCCAGGGCTGGTGCTAACTTCCAAGCTTGCATAAGAAGAGGGAAGTTCCATGGGATGATTTGGCCTTTAAATTGAAAAATTTTTGAAATTTTTAAAATCATTTCAAAATGTCAAAAAAGAAAATAAATTCCAAAATGTCAACTCCTCGACTATTCAAAAGATTTTCAAAAAAAATTTTTCACCAACCAACAACTCCAACAGGCTCATGACGTGTATAGCAAAAATAGTCTCCTCCTATAGGTATTGTCTTTCCATGGTTTTTATCAGCCCAGCCAGCATAATAACGATAAACGGCAATTGAAAGAGGCAGGTCAGCTGAATTAAAATTTTTATAAAAAGCAATTTCTAAAAATTGAGAGACTTTAAACTAGGATGGGGCCTTACAAGGGAGAGGATTGATATACGGAGAATGGAGGTAGCAAGATTCAAAGTGTGCACAATAAAAATTTTCAAATTCTCCGAGAGGGAAACAGCCCGAAGACGAACTGCAGAGCAGAAAGTGGCACCGAAGGAAGACCTCCTCCACTTCACAGGGACCTCACTTCCATTAGACGCAGGTCGAAGACGACTTAAGCCATAAAAAATAAAGTGAAATTAAAAACCTAAATAGGCGTCCTTGTAAGGCTTTCCATTATCCAAAGTCTCCAAAGAAGCGAGCTCAACAGCATCCCTTTCAATTAGGGAAGCTAATTTATTTAGTAAAAGTCCACGGGCTGAAGCATCCATACGGCGCCATTCAGAGCCCAATTTAAAGGCATCACAGGCAGCCTAAAAAAATTTTTTTTAATAATGAAAGAGGAGAAGGATGACGGGGAGATTACCAACTCACAATCAGCATTAAGGTCGGAAAAGGGGTCCAGAAAATTAAAAAAAATTTTCTGAAAAACTCAAGAAACATATTTGACCCAAACAACTCAAAAACAGTCAAATAAAATCGTTAGCACCCAGCAGGATTCGAACCCGAGACCCCCTAAGTTGTCAAACCAGACACACATCCACTACACCACAAACACAAATTTTGAAAATTTTGCACCAAAAAATTCCAAAGAATTAACCTTAACAGCAGCATCAATATCAGCCTTATCCCCCTCTTGCACTTCCGCAATTTTAGTTTTGGTCGCAGGATTGATGGTCGGAAAGGTTCTTCCACTCTTTGAGTTGACCCATTCGTTGTTAATAAAAATCTGAAAATTTTTTGAAAAAAAAATTTTTTTGAAAATTTTTTTTTGAAAATTTTTTAGAAAACCTGAGTGAATTTCGGTTCATCCTCCCAAACAGGTTTAGGTGACGGAATTTTAACTGCTGAAGCAAAGCCGCGAATAGACGAGGAAGTTAATAATTTACAGGTATTTTTATTTAAAATTCGTTGCATTTTTAATTTAAAAAATCTAATAAAAAAATTTAAAAAATTAAGCGGTTAGGCAACATACCCAAGAATTTATTAAATCAATTATACTTTTTAAATTGATAAAATGAATAAGGAGTGAATGAGAAAAAGTACTAAAGTTTAAAAAAATAAAATCAATTTATAGTCTTTTTCCCATCTTTGTTTCGGAGCAGGACTAATAGGCGTGGCCGAATAGGCGCTATTTTTTCGGCGCAGGATGTTTTTGGCGTTGAGTCGCCCGCGCCTATTCGGCCGCGCCTATTAGTCGTGTAATAACTTGAGAGAAAAACATTAACAGAAATCAGAATATTCAAAAAACATCAAAAATCAGAACAACTGAAAACAATTAAAACATTTAAAAAAGCCAGAATTTAATAAAAACATTGAAAGTATCTCAGAAAAACAAAACATTAAAAAATCAGAATTTAATTTAAACATGTTTGTCAAAATTAAAAAATCAGAATTTAATAAAAACATTAAATGTACCAGAAAAACAAAACATTTAAAAAATCAGAAGTTAATAAAAACATTGAATGTACCAGAAAAACAAAACATTTAAAAAATCAGAAGTTAATAAAAACATTGAATGTACCAGAAAAACAGAACATTAAAAAATCAGAATTTAATTAAAACATGTTTGTCAGAATAATTAAAAACAAACCAGAATTTAATAAAAACATTAAACGAACATAGGGGAAAACAAATAAAACAGTTAAAAAATCAGAATTTCCTCAACATAAAATCAGAATTTAAAAATAAACTAAAAACAGAAAAATAAAATCAGAATTATTAAATTGAATAAAATCAGAAATTAATTATTGTTGAGAATGCGATATCTTTTATTTATTCTTTTGTTTAATAATTATGTGTTTACCAAAGTGTTCAACAAAAAATAATATAGGCCCATATTTATTTTTTTTAAATTGCTACTCTCTTTTCACATTTTTTGACGTTTGAAAATAGAAAAAAGATTATTTTTTCTAAACAAAATTTTTTAAAAATAAAATTGGAGAGGAAGTTACACCACTACATAGTTGCATGTTGAAGCGGTACACCTCAATTGAGTCGGGACTCAATTGAGTCCCGACTCAATTGAGTCCCGGACCCTATAACTTATGAAGGGATGGTCACTTTTTGCTACTCTTGATACCATTGGATAGGGCATTAAATAGGCTACAATATACCAAAAAAATCAAAATTCCCGACCGACTGGTAAAAAAGTTATTATCGATAAAGTGCCGAAAAATCCGATTTTTTTTGAAAAAGTTAGTTTTTATATCATAACTTTTTTATCAATAGGTCAAAAATTCTGATTTTTTGATATGTTGTAAAGCTTTTGATTCTCTATCCAATGATACCACGAACATTAAAAATTATCAACCCGTACTTGAGTTATAGGGCCGGGACTCAATTGAGCCGGGACTCAGTTGAACTGCTCCGATGTTGAAGGCATTTCTTTGACCATAACTTCTCTTATTTTCGACCAAACCAAACAAATCTTATATCATTTGATAGTTTTGAATCTGGGGATTTAATTCCGACAAATTTCATTTCTATAGCTACATCAAGAAAAAAGTTAGAGGCGGATAAACAACAAAAATCATGATTTTTCATACTTTTTAGAGTCTAACTTTTTTATGATTGATCAGATCAAATCAATTCCTTTAAGAAAAATGATCAGCACATTTAGGGCTTTTGAAAGAAATTTAAATTATTTCGAATGGTTAAATAATAAAAAAGTTATGGACCAAAACGTAACCTCTACTTCACATTAAACGGCTGCGCCGAAACGTCCCCTATATAATTTCTCCCCAAATTTTATTTTTTCCTTTAAAATAATTTTTAAAAATTCTATTTTTTATTTAAATACAAAAACCTTTAAAAAATTTCTATAAAAAATTTTTTTTAATTTTTCTTAGGAAAAATTTACCCTGCACGAATTTAATACCCCTAATTATAGCCTAAAATAAAGGTGAATATCGCGTGCAGACCAGAAGAAAATAATTTAAAAAATAAAAAAAAATTCCAAAAATATTTTAAACTAAAAAAAGCCCATTTTTTCCTTTTTTTTCCAAGACAACACATTTCTTTTAAAATTTAAAAATACAAAATAACAAAAAAAAATATTTTTTTCTTTAAATTATACGTATATCTTTTCCTCCTCTGCCCTTTCCTTTAAAAATTGAAATTCATTCAAATGTAAAATTAACACCTACATAAGATGGCTTTTTCTCTTTTTTATTTTTTTGCCAGCTACATATATATTACAAAATTAAAATGTCTATTAAAAAAGTTTTATTTTGTTGGTGACGTAAAAATATGCGGATAAAACATGTGATGGAGGGTACTCGATGTTGCTTCGCCGCGAGCTTATAAAATTGCCAAAAATGGACCTAGAGACTTGAAATTTTGTAGAGACATAGTCAACAAGCTTATCTAACATGTCTAAAAATTTCAGAATTTTTGGTTTCGAAAATCAGAAGTTCTGGTTAAAAAATCAGAATTTTGGGCAATTTTCTTTCATTTTCCTCTATTTTTGGAATATTTTCTGCCGTAATCTCTGAAATATTTTACCAAAAATTCTGAAATTTTTAGATAAGCTAGAGAACCTTATTAAGGACATTTCTGCCAAATTTTATTACTATAGGTTCAAGTTTGGCAATTTTATGGACTCGCGCCGAAACGACATCAACGCCCAATACCCTTCGCGATTATTGCTCATTTAAATATTAAACTTGCATAAAATAATTTTCAAAAAATTTGTGTTCAAAAATTACCCAATTAATTAATTATTTTTCTTTTTTGTTTTAATTTTAAACAGGAAACGGAAATATTAATTAAATAATTAAAATTGTAAAGAGGCTAATAACCGTAAACAATTAATATGCCTTTTATAAGAGGCGAAAATGCAAAAATAAATTATATTTAATTATGTAAATTTATGTACATACATATAATGCTTATTCTTTTATTATTTACTATGAGGAACTCATAAATTATCATTTTTGTTCCTAAAATTTGGAAAAAAATTTTTTTTCATCATTTTTGTAATAAACCCTATAAAATCGTAATATACATTTTCCACCAGAATTTAAAAAATACGTAACCAAAAATTCTAAAATTTTGTGAGTTGATAGATAATTGTATGTAATATATTAGTACAAATTTTTACTTTTTAAAGTTTACTTTGGGCAGTTTTACAAGGCTCCGCGCCGAAACACCCGCCGCGCCGTAACGCCTTACATAAAAATCAGAATTTTTAAAATTTTTCAGAATTTTTGAATTTTTCAGAATTTTTTTAAATTTCAGAATTTTTTAAATCAGAATTTTTATAAAATCAGAATTTTCAAAATCAGAATTTTTAAAATCACAATTGTTTTTAAAATCAGAATTTTTTTTTAAAAATCAGAATTTTTTTTTAAAAATCAGAATTTTTTTAAATTTCAGAATTTTCGAAATTTCAGAATTTTTTTAAAAATCAGAATTTTTCCAAATTTTTAGAATTAAAAAAAATCACTCTTCATAAATGCCACCAATATTTTCCTCAAAAAATAATTTGTCTTTATTCCAAACAACACTAATTTTATTATTATTAATTTCCCAAAGCCAATCCGTTTTCTACAGAAAAATTCCTTTTAGATACAAATCTGTAGTAGAAAAACCCTGGACAAACACAGAAGACGATAATATTGCTGCTGCTATTTTAACTAGCAGAGAAGATAAGGAGGAAGGGGAACAAAATATAGCACAATTGTTGGAACAGATTGAAAGTAAGATTGTTTGATTCTTCGGTTATACTGTTACTTGGATATCCAAAAAATTTAAACTCATGGGCCTGTCGAATAAAAACAACCTTTTAAGCACCATGGGGCTTCGAACGCCGAAACGCTCAGATGCTATAGGTAGTGCCCGGCGCCGGACCGGTCCCACTGATCTTTGTAGGATGAAATAATTTTCATTAAATTAAATTTGGCTTCCACATTTCCAGTTTCAGCAGGTTCCGATTTTCGATACTTTAGAACCCCTCCGATAATAATAAAGATACCCAACCTTTGTGACAAATTTGTAGAGGACTCTAGATAATTGGGACAATTTTTGGGTTGAATTTGTAAAAATTGAAAACGGGTGGCTATAAAGAGAGAGCTACACAACACTAACAAGGAACATAGCGAACAAATGTCATTTAAGGGGGCAGAACGTGAAAAGGTTCGAACCCTGGACCCAATTTTAAGACGATATTGTAGTCAGCGCTCTTACCCACTTAACCAAAATTTCATTTCCGCTATGACCTCTGTTTTGCCTGCGCTAGTCTGCTGTGAGCTATTGTTTAGTAAAACTGATAAATGCCCGTTAAAAAAATATTTTTCTTTTAGAATCTTCACTCGACTCTCCCGATAACGACAGCGAAGAAGACTACACTAATTTAAAAGAAGATGAACTTCCATTAAACCAAAAATTACAAAAAATAAATAATAATTTAATTAAGCAAAGGACTGATAAAAACGGGGAAGAAGTTATAGCTCTTCCAAAAAATATTTTAATCGAAAAAGAAGATATTCTTCCAAAATATACACATTTAATGGCGTTTAGACCTGATTATACTATTAGGTAGGGGATTGAAAAAATGGAAAATAAATTATATTTTCGTTTTTTAATTTAAAAAACGATTTTAAAAAATAGAAAAAAAATTTTGAGAAAGCAAAAAAATTATTTTTCAACTTTAGAAAATATTTGGACAAAGAAAAAATAAAATACCATCGAACGGTATCGAACCCTGACCCCTTCTAGTGGAAAATCAGAAACGATACCAATACACCACGGACAAACTTAAAAAATTTGAAGAAGCAAAAAAATTATTTTTCAAATAAAAAATGATTTTTAAAAAATAGAAAATAATTTTTTTGAAGAAGCAAAAAATTATTTTTCACCTTTAGAAAATATAAGGGCAAAGAAAAAATAAGATACCATCGAAAGGTATCGAACCATAACCCCCCTTGGAGGAAAATCAAGAACGATACCAATACACCACCGACAAACTAAAAATAGAAGAAATTTTTTTGAAGAAGCAAAAAAAATTTTTTCACCTTTAAAAAATATTTGGGCAAAGAAAAAAAATAAAATACCTTCAAAAGGTATCGAACCCTGACCCCCTCTAGGTGAAAAATCAAGAACGATACCAATACACCACCGATATACTATAAATAACAAAAGATTTTTGAAGAAGCAAAAAATTTTTTTCAAATAAAAAACGATTTATCCCCAAAAGGCATCGAACCCTAGACCCTTTAAGGAGAGGACTAGAGAGTATACCACTACACCACAGACTTTCTTTATTAACAACTAAACACCCTCTAAAATAAATAAAACAATTTTTCAATTTTTAGAAATTTTGCCAGCTTCCTACGGCGTTTTCTCGATTCAAGAATTATTGCTGCAACTGTGGATGATGAAACAAAATAAAATTAAAAAAGAAAAGATTGAATTTTATAACCTCAAAAAGAAGTCTAAAATCAATCAAAATTAACTTAAAAAATTAAAGATTTCGAATTTACAGTATCTCTAGATTTGTTAACTGCTTACTGTAATCGTAAAAATAATAAAAACTATTTTATTTAATTTTTAAATATTTTTAGATAAAGTTAGGGTAACGGAAAAAATATAAAAATATTTTACCCACAAAAGGTATCGAACCTTGCCCCTCTATGGGAAAAGTCAAGAACGATACCAATACACCACATGTAAAAATCATCCCATCTCTGCAGTTTTATACAAGATTTGGGCAAACGAAAAAATATTACCTGTAAAATGTGGGCTGGGCTAATTTCGCATTCTGCATTTCGCTTTTAATTTTTAGATTTCGCCCAGCCCTGGTGTCGAACCTTGCTCCTTTCGGAAGCATGACAAGAATTATACCACTACACTACAAAAAAAAGTTTCCAATTTTTCCATTGTTTGTATCTACCCTCAAAATTCTCCATATTTTTTTTTTAATTTAAAAAAATATCTTTTTAAATTTTATTTTAAACATTTTTAAACCTTTTCCTTAAAACTTCAACAAACAATAAAAAAATAAAAGGAATTTTTCCCTAAACTTTTAATTGAAGCAATTAAAAAATAAATAAAAAATAGTAATCTCTCATCCTTTTTAAATAAAAAAATGTCAAAAAATAAAGTAAATATACATATACGCAAAAAAATAAATTTTTTCACTAAATTGCGCAATAAATTGTACAAAAAATATATTATTTAACCCGAATTATTTAAAAATATTTAAGACGAAGGTGAAGATAATTTTGCATGGGTTTCTATTAGAGGGGGGTTTTTATTGGATAGACCCTGGGCTTTTATTGGAGAGACCCTTATATTAGAGAGGGGCTTTTATTAGAGAGACTCTTCTATTAGAGAGATCCTTGTATTAGAGACGGGCTTTAATGGAGAGACCCTTCTACAAGAGACGGGCTTTTATTGGAGAGACCCTTATATTAGAGAGGGGCTTTTTTAGAGAGATCCTTGTATTAGAGAGGGGCTTTTATTGGAGAGACCCTTTTATTGGAGAGTAGTGTTCGGCACGGTTCAATACTCTCGCAGTACTCTCGAAAGTATTGACTCAATACTTTTCGGTACTATTGGTATTGGTACGGTATTGATGAGATTTTGGAATTTTCGGTACTCGCTCAATACCAATACTTTTCGGTACTATTGGTATTGGTATTGTATTGATCAATTTTCTAGTACCGCGGTACTCTCGAATTTTCAATACTGGGAAATTTGAAGAAAAAAATGTAAAATATTGCTAGTAAAAGTAATAAATATTGTAAAAAATTTCAAAACTTCCCCTTCAAATCTTCTACCATCCCTAAAATCTCTTTTTATCCCCCGATTTAAGTGTTGAAGGATTTAAGAGTAGACCTTTTAACCTAAACCCTGAAGACCTACACAATAAAGGCCTAATTTAATCAGTGGATCTGAAGGAGATAAAGGTGAAAATGATGGATTTTAGGAGATTGGATTTGGAGGGATTAAAGGGGATATCAGGATATTTGTGGGATAACAGGGATATGAGAAGATTTGGAGTGATATCAGGAGATTTGAGGGATAACGGGTATATGAGAAGATTTGTAGGGATATCAGGATATCCTTTCAACTCAATGAAAAGAGTTGGAAGGATATCAGGAGATAATAACAGGGATATCACAAGATTTGGTGAGATATAACTGGGATGATGATATCAACCTTAATCCAACGATATCCTCATTAATCCCTCCAAATCCTTTTACTCTTTCAGATTCCATGACTAAACCAGTAAAGTATAAAAATCTGTGTTAATATAAAGTTTGTAGGTCTTCTAGCCCCCTTAATCGTTCATAATCCCACGATATCCTTCAAATCCCTTAACTAGATTAATGTTACAAAGCACACTCATCTTCTAAAATTTAATTCTAACATTTTTATTGCTTAAATTTAATGTTAAAAATGCTTAAAAAATTATATTTTTGGATATTATGTCATTTTATGTTAGTATTGAAGTACCGCGGTACTCTCGAAATTTTTTCATCAATACTTTTCAATACCAATACTTTTCGGTACTATTGGTATTGGTACGGTATTGATGAGATTTTGGAATTTTCGGTACTCGCTCAATACCAATACTTTTCGGTACTATTGGTATTGAAAAAATCCATTTGCCGAACACTATTGGAGAGACACTTCTATTAGAGAGACCCTTCTATTAGAGATGGGCATTTATTGTCATATTCAGAAATTTTAATTTTCGAAATGCCAACCTTTCAAAACGTCGAATTTTTAAATTGTTAAAATTTTTAGATGTCTACTTTACGAATATTCATTTTAATTTTAATTAATTTTTTGACAATTTTCATATTTAAAATCCCATCAGCTTTATCAACTTCTACACAAAATTTAAATATTAATTTGGAAAGAATTAAAAGAGAAATTAAAGAAAATACAAGCAAAAATACAACAAATAGTGAAGAAAAAGAAAATGGTAGAAAAGAAAACTTTTATAATATACCCTTTACCGTATATACTTTAATTACTCTGGGTAATTAAAGTTTCAACCTCTCTATAGAGAGAGTAATTAATAGATGCTATATTTTAGGAAGGCTAATTGTAGCTATTTTTAGGGGGGTAATTATTGTTTCAACCTTTCGCTAGACGGAGTAACTAAAAGAGATGGGGTATTTGAGAGAGGGTAATTAATAGGCTATATACCTGTTGGAGGGAACCCATTTAATACATACCTCGTTATTAGGTCAAGATAATTTCACAACTAAGGGGGAGATATGTAGAACACTAATAAAATTAAAAAAAGATAAACAAGTAAATGATCGTTATGGAAAATATTTGGCACAGCGAAAACGTATACTTGAAAAGGATGAAAACGAAACGGAGAAGTTTGAATCTACAACTACGGCTAGTGTACAACATAAGGAAAAAGATGAAGAACAAGTTGTTGATGAAGGGTAAATTTTTTAAAATTTAAACATTTTGGAATTGGACAAAATGATTAAGGTGACGAAATGATCACTTTATGACATCACTTTATGCCATTCGTTTTCCCCACAAAATGGGCATTTTTATGGGAGGGACGAAATAGGGGATTGACGAAATGGGGGAGTGACAAAATGGTAATTCTAAGGAAGTGACGAAATGTCTATTTTTTGGGGAGGGGAGGAAATGACCACTGGAAGGCAGGGGTAATTGACTAGAGAGATCGAGACTATTTAGGCCTCTAATTAAAATAGGGTTGTACCCCGAACGTTCGGGGGCGGGTATGTCGGGGTACGGGGTTTTCCAATTGTTTCGGGGCGGGGTTCGGGTCGGGGGAGCAAAATATGGCCGGGGTTCGGGTCGGGGTACGGGGTTTTAGGGAAAAAATTTTTAGAGAAAAAAATGCTCAAAAATAATCAGATCTCGGTATATTTTCGCTAATTTATTCAAAAATTAAGTAGGATTTGGAGAAATTAGAGGGGATTTGAAGGGATTAAAGTGTATAACTTGGGATATAAGTGGATATGGAGGGATTAAGCGGGATTTTTAGGGATTAAATGGTATATCTAGGGGTGCAAGGTGATCTGGAGTGATTTTTGTTGTTTCAAGGGATATCAGTGATTAATAAGAATATTGAAGTATTGCGGATAAGGGTATTTGGACGGATATCAGGAGATATCTTCGATTAATCCTTAAATCTCCCACGAAATCCTTGTTAATTCCGTTAAATTCACGTAATTCTTTCAAATCCATTTTAATCTAAACCTTATATCCCTTTAAATCCCTTTATAACTCCTTAATTCTTCGATATACTACAAATTCCTTTATATCTCTGATTCCCGTTAACAGGACCTCGCTAGTTTTCCAACTGTTATGGTTGGGAACCCCTTACTGGTGAGATACAAGGGGTTTGAAGGATTAAGGGTCGTTCAAGGGATATCAGTTAAAAATAAAATTAATATTTTAAAATTAAAATTTAACTCGTTAATAATTTGTTTTTGTAAAGAAATATAAAAACAAAAGAGTTCTCCTTATTGGATCCGAACCCAATCCTATATTAATGGAAATATAGGCTAAAACCAACAACTAAGCCACTCAACCACAAGTCTCTTAATTAAGAAGGAAAGAAAATTTTGATATTTCATTCATTTTTCTTTCAAAAATAATAAAGGCAAAGTAAATTGTGAGGAAATTTTTAAAATTTTTCTCTTAAAATTCTCACAAAAATGGCATTTTTTGGGTGTATAAAACCCCGATAACCCCGAAACTTTTATGGTCGGGGTACGGGGTTTTCGAAATGTTTCGGGGCGGGGTTCGGGTCGGGGAGAATCGTGAAAAAATCGTTCGGGAACGGGGTCGGGGTTCGGGGTACGGGGTCGGGGTACAACTCTAAATTAAAATAAAAAATAAATTAATTAGCCTCCAACCTTCAATCATTCGCCCGCCTGCTGTTGAAAATGGATATGTAGAATCCCCAGTATATCAAAGACAACAAATACAATATCCTTATTATTACCAAAATTACCAACCATATGAATACCCAAATTATGGATATTGTGGAAATAATCAACAATATTATTATCAAACTCCAAGTTATTATTACCCATATTATGGTAAGTTAGAAATATTGAAAAACACACAAAAACACACAAAGAAAACACATAAAATACAGAAACACAAATACAAAAATAAACACAAAATACATAAAATACAAAAACAAAAACTAGAAAAACACAAAAATACAAAATACAACAGTAAACACAAAGTACAAAAAATACATTAGAATACAAAAATATAAAAAACACGAAAAACACAAAACATGAAAAACACAAAAATACAACAATAAACACAAAATACATAAAATACAGAAACACTAAAAATACAAAAACACAAAAATACAGAAACGCGAAAATACAAAAACACTAAAAATACAACAAAAATACAGCATAAAACATAACATTATAAACACAAAAACACGAGAAACGAAAACACAAAAAATACTACCATAGGTACCTCATACTATCAACAACCCTCATGGAGAGGGGGCAATATGCCCGGCAACTTATTCAACCTTGGACTTGGTGGAGGCTTTAATATAGGCCCGCCTGGAGGGGGAATAGGTGTTGGGACTGGACTTGACGTTAATGTTGGATAAATTAAATTTCTTTTATTAAAAAATTTTATTTAAATTCCCCCTCTATTAAAATCGATTAAAAAAATTAATAGACATTGACAATTTTATTTAAATGTCTGATAGTTTGTGATTGTAGTTTGTACATTGAAGCTATTGACATTTCAATTAATATTGTCTATTCTGCCCTTTAAAAAGTCTTTAATTAATTTTTCTCTCTCCTCTATTAAAATTTTTTATTTAAAATTTTGTTTAATTTTAAAATTTTTAATTGTTGAAAGAGAAGTTTCTTTAAGAGACTAAGCCGTTAAGTTGAATGTATAAACCGGAGGCAGATAAAATTAAATTAGCTAGAAATACCGTAAATGCTGAAATAATGTCCCTTTCTCAAATAGTTACCCCCTCCCTATTAATTACCTCCTTCAGAGAGGCTGAAAAAAATAATTACTCCACTTAAAAATAGTTATAATTTGCCTTTTTAAAAATAGCTCAAATAATTACCCCCTCTCTTTTAATTACCCCCTCTCTTTTAATTACCCCCTTCAGCGAGATGTTGAAACAATAATTACCCTGGGTAATTATTTTAGCAAATACGGTAGTTACTTTTTTTTTCAAAAATAACCCTCGTATGTTTATCTATGTTCTCCAAAAATTTAAGAATTTTGGACTAGAATTTTACAAATTATGGCTGACTATAACAAGTCAAGTTACACCCGAATAATTATAAAAATTCACGATTGCGTGTACTTATTCACACATAACTTTTTATAGGACGATCGGAGTAAATAAGTCTAGTTAGCTAAAATGATCCCCACATCCAGAGCTTTCGATTGATATAATATTTATTTAAATCGGTTAGGAATCAAAAAAGTTATGGCCCAAAATAGGGCCTCGATAATGCTAAATCAGGCTTTACTTAAAAATAAACCTTTCCTTCCTCATTTCTTTACAACTTTTAGGTGCTTTATTCCTACTACACCAACACAAAGTTTAAAAAATGTTAACAAAATTTAGACCTAAATTGGTCTTTTTATTACTCACTTTGTCTTATTTATTGGCTAACAATATTTCATATAGTCAGCAATTTGATAATTCTGCTGAAAAAGAAACAATGAGTCTTTTACCGAAAGGAAGCAAGGAAATTGGAGAAATTAAGGAAGAGAAAAAGGATGAAGGCAAGACATGTTTTTTTGTATTTCATATAAGGGTTGTGCGTCATGTCGTTTGGTTTTGTGTTGGCGTTCATTTTGGCAGATTTTTGGCGTTTTGTGTTTGGCGTGATTTAAAAATTTGAAAAAATGGGGTTTGGCGCGCCTCGCAAAATTTGGCGCACAGCCCTGTTTTATACCCAAACATTTTTGTTTTGACAATTTTTTGTACAGACCGATGTTGGTCCTAATCATTTTTCTGACCATTTTCTGACCTGACCATTTTTTGTGTTGACCATTTTTAAAAGTTCCATTTTTGTTCTGACCATTTTATAATTTTGACCATTTTATGTTCAAACCTTTTTAAGGTCGGGGTAGTGCCTTCGGGGTTTTTGCCAAAAAATCGTCGGGGTATGGGGAGCTACCCTAGTCCAATGTTTAAAAAATATTAAATATAAATTCAGTTAAATTTCTGCTACCAGAGAATCCCGAGATTACAACTTTTGGAAATATGCGTGACAACATTTTAAAATTATTTGAGAAAAACAAAGAAATAAAATGTAAAAAAATGCTCATAAATTGTCTAAAAAACGAACTGAAAAAAATTAAATTTGGGCACATAAATGCACAAATATTTGCAGATTTTGAAGGATATTTAAGTAGACAAAAGGACGAAGAAAAGAATAAAAAATTAAAAACGGTCAAGAAATCGGTTGCAAATTTGGAAAAATTTGAATTTGTAACGTTCTTAAAAATCAGAGAGATGTGTGGGGATTTGGAGAATTATTTTGAGGAACACATTGAAATTGCTAAGGATATTTGTTCGATAGAGAAGTTTACTGAGAAATTTGATAAAATGCTTAAATCTGCTGAGACCACATTTGTAAGCTTATAATTTATTTATTAGTCTGCTGCTAAAGGCGTGAGGGGCAAAACTTCGAATTATCAAAACTCCGTCCAGACAGAACTTCTTATGATCATAACTTCGTCCAATGAGAAAAATATGAATTTTCAATAGTTTGGGGTCTTTTAGCAAGTTTTGTCGGTCGAAGTTTTGTCCGTTCGAAAAACTGCCCTGACACGGTTGAAGGAAGGCAGTGACTGGAATAGACAGAATAACAGTAGGAGACTTCGAAAACACCTTTCTTATTCTCCTACTCTTTATTTTGCATCAGGGCTGAGCGTCATTTCTGGCTGATTTTTTGGCATTTTACTTTTGGCGTGTTTTAAAAATTTGAAAAATTGGCGTTTGCCGTTCCACGAGAAAATTTTGGCGCACAGCCCTGTTCTGCATCCCCCACCCTACCCCATCCACAACATTGGGCTCCAAATGAAAATGTACATGAAAAAGGTGATCCTAAGGGCATGTAGATGAACAAAAATTAAAAGTTTTCATTTTTGTTCTGACCGTTTTGATGGTCTGACCGTTTTGATTTTCAAAATAATTTTTTAAATTTAAATAATTAACAGGAAAAAGAAAATACATTAATTGATGAAAATTCTGAATTTCACAAAATAATTTATTCAAAACCATTCGACAAAAAACACCAAACACTTAATGAAAAATTTAGAAATTTAGTTAGACGTGTAACAACAGGATTAAGAAAAAAATGGCTTTATGGAAGCAAAGATAAAAATTTAAAAATGAGTTCAAACGAGGAAGAAGATAATTATTTGTTGGGTGGTGCTAACTAGTGGAGATGTCCAAGAATCTTGGTCTTGAGTCAAAGTCAAGTCTTGGGGTGAAGTCTTGGTCTTGGAAAATTTTCGGTCTTGGACATCTCTACTAACTAGTTGGGTTGTCTTGAAGGAGGGGGGGGGTCAGAAAATTTTTTCAAAAAAACTAGGAAAATTCTCTGAAAACTTCTTCCCAAGTGAGACACGGATATTCGGAAATACAGAGAATGTCCGGACCCCAACTTTCTGTTCGGACCCCACCCATCTTGTAAAAATTGTAAAAAATTGTAAAAAATTAAAATTGCATCTCTAAAAAATTTCTTTGTCGTTTAGAGTTTAAAAAGGGTTGATAAAACAAGGTGTTTCCCTTTAATGGCAGACTTTATCAATTAATTTTCTTTAGAGATGAATTTTCATTTTGCCAAAGATGTCACCTTAGTTTTTCTCTATGAGAAATACATATTGTAAAGGATATAGCTATTTAATTCCTAAGGCTAAGCAGGAGGAGGTGTGCTGTAACGGATAACATGTCAGTCCTGTAGATCAGAGGTGGGTAGGAATTCCGATTTCTGACGATTTTTTCCTTCCTCCACCAGAGTTCCGACTTTTGAGTTAGTTACGATTTCCGACACCTCTGACTGTTCCGATCCACCTCTGCTGTTACTGCTGGCTCGCACCCAGCCGCCTTCTTCTAATGTCTCTCTAGCTGAAGGAGAAATGGTTATAGCACAATTCATTTGTCAAGAACTAAAGAAAATGCCTTACTCCGAAAAGCTCGTTAAATCGGATTCGATTGTATTTACTAGCAAAAAGTGGTCGCTTCTTCTAATGTTTATTAAAATATTAAGAATTCTCTCGGAAGAAGCTACCATCTATGGCATACCGTATATTTGTGTACATATCCTGATTGTTTTTTGTATTTATTAAAAACTTTGTATAAAAATCCCTAACATTTGTTGGCTGTTGCATATAGAATTTTTTAAATCTTGGCATGTAGCCAGGAGAGAGACCCGTCGATAAAGGCAAAAATCCATATTGCCACATGTTCAAATAAAATCACGCGCAAGCGCGTCTAATAGTGAAGGGGGGGGGGGGGGGATAAAAACAATCGAAAATAGGCGAGAAAAGCCAACGCAATTTTCTCTCCTCATTCAATGTTATTTTCTGTCGCAAGACGCAAATCGACTTTTCTGTTGCCACAACATAATAGTGAAGGGATATGAGTGGGGAAGAGAGGGAATGAAGAGAGAATGGGGGGGGGGGGTAGAAGGTGAAGGGAGGAGGAGGTGGAGGGGGTGTCTTTCCTAGGAGGAGGAGGAAGGTGAAGAGAGGTGTCTCTAAGAGGGCTCTGTCTTTCTAAGGGAGAGGGAAGGAAGGGGAGGGAAGGGGTGTCTTTCTAAGGGGATGAAGAGAGAAGGGAGTGAGGAGGGGGGGGGGGGGGTAGAAGGTGAAGGGAGGTGGAGGGGGGTGTCTTTCCTAGGAGGGGGAGGAAGGTGAAGATGTGTCTCTAAAGGGGTCTGTCTTTCTAAGGGGGACGGGAAGGAAGGAGAGGGGAGGGAAGCTATAGGGTCTGCCATCTTCTTTAATTAATAGCAGGTGAAGAAAATAAAATTTTTTGTATAGAGAAGGGGAATTTTTAATGGAAGAGAGAGGTAGAGGGGAGGGAGTAGGCGAAGAGGGAAGAGCGTCTCTCATCTTTATAGGAGGGTAGTTATTAAGAGCGAGCGCAGGGCATTGACTACCTCTTTATATAGACAGACACCTCTTCGTTAAAAAATTTTCTTTCTTCATTTATTGCCTGCAAAATTAAAATTAAAAAATTTTTCAAGAAAAATAAAAAAAAATTTTTTTTTGAATTTTCAAATAAAATTATTCCCCTTAATGAGGTAGAGGGTAGGGAGTAGTTATTCCCCTTGATAGTGTTAATTTAATAGTTGGTCGGACCTCACTTAAGACACACCCCTCCCTATACGAGAATTCTTTAAAATATTTTTATTAGCCTCTAGGCGGGGGTGTAGCTGCCTTCGGATACCTCCAATTTAAATACCTCTCGTTATAAGCGACGATTTTTCGACTCCAAGGGTGTGTATTAGAGCGAGGCTTGATTTTACATTTTTTGCAGTGTAAAATCCTTTTTAAGACAACCGAAAAATGTCACCAAAATTTCTCCCAAAATTGGTCATTTTATGCTTCTTTTTATTCATTTTGTTGGACAACATTGAAGGGGGAAGTGAAGAAAGAAATGGGCTTTTAAACGGGACAAAGACACGTTCAAAAACAAACCTAGAAAATTTATGGAGAAAAGCGACGATTGTCACAAGGGCAGTAACAAGTTTAATAAAGCCTAAAGGAGAAGCTAAAGGCTCTTATTTATCATTAGGAAAGACTTTGGATAAAAAGACGAGTCTTATGGATAATGGATTTAATGTTGATAAAAGCATATTAAAAACAGAACCTCAAAAAATAAATCATTGGATCACTACTACATATCCAAAGAGTTTTAAGTTTTAAACTGAGAAGAAAGAACGATTTAAAAAAAGAACATTTATATGTGTAGGGTGTGGTGTATCCATTCATTGACCAAAATACCCTCCGGAAGAGACAAAATACCTTCCAAAGTAACTAGATGACATTTTGTCGTATATAGCTATGTGACATTTTGTCGTATATAACAATGTGTCATTTTGTCGTATATAGCTATGTGACATTTTGTCGTATATAAAAATGTGACATTTTGTCGTAAATAAAAATGTGACATTTTGTCGTATATCAAAATGTGACATTTTGTCGTATATAAAAATATGGCATTTTGTTGTATAAAGAGGTGGCATTTTGTCGTATATAACAATGTGTCATTTTGTCGACTATCAAAATGTGACCTTTTGTCGTCCTTTACTTGTTGTGACATTTTGTCGTTATAAATGAGTAGGTATTTTGGTCCGTAGATGGAATGCCCTTCCGTTTCATTGTAAGAAAAACAAAAAATTGAACATTTCTTTTATTTTAAAAGATTATTATTTTAAATTTATTTTTTATCGATAAAATTTTTCTTTTTTTTTATAAATTTTTTGTATTGGAGAAAAACAAAAGGGTTTCCCTAATAGACTCGGACTTCATTATAAGATATACCCAATGAAGTAGGTGAAACGTTTATTAAAATACGCAGTATCAAAGGGTATTTACCGTATTTCCTCTAATAGAATGTCACTCTCCTGTTGAATGACCCCCTCTAATAGAGTGACCCCTTGGAGGATGATTGAAAAATAGAATGGCCGACCACTATATTAAAGGAAATACGGTATACTCAGTATCTAAATAAAATTTGGGAGTGTTAGACAATTGGGGATATAAAATTAAAAAATAGCTGAAGCAAAGGCAAGCAACAATTGAAAGAGCTTGATTAAAATGAGAGTCTGTTTTGTAGTGCCGTCTGACGGTTTCTGAATGATTTCTGGATATTGATGCGGGGCTGAAGACTTTAATAAACATTTTATTTTTAAAAGGAGTTACAAACAGCCGAGGGTTGGGGACGTTTTGGCGCCGTGCCGTTTTGGCGCGAGAATAAAAAAGTGGCACTTAGGCGTGACTTAATTTCATAAAAATTTTCTCAAATTTCTTTAACATCCTTGCCTACCTCCTCCAGAAATTTTAGAATTTTTCATCAAAAGTTTCTGAAGTTATAGTCGATAGACCTCGAAAAATTAGGCATTCTTCAAAAAATCAACATTTTTGCCCACAATTTTCGAAATTATTTATCAAAAATTTTGAAATTTTTGGAAAACATAGATAAAGGCACGAGAGTTATTATTGCATTATTGAAGTGAAAGCCTTTTCTGTAGTGCAGGCTGTCAGTTACCGACTCCAGACGGTTTCTAAATTATTTCTAGAAAAAATGAAAGGTCTAGACAATTAATTCAGAAAAGGGCATTCACGAGATTTTTAAAGAATCATAAAACAGGTTGGATATCTTGTGATTGTCTAAACATATTGCCCAAACTACAAATTAGGGGCAGACTACAATATTGAATTTTTTGGCATGTGTTTTAAGCAGAGGATTGAAGGAGAGAGGGAAGGACTTGAATTGAGGGAGGGAGGGAAGGGGGAATAAGAGGGAATAACATGGAGGGCCAGTTAGAGAAAAATAGAAAGAAAGAGCAGGAGATGAGAAGGAGGGATGAATCGTTTTAAGAGAGGGGATTGAAGGAGGGAGGGAAGGATTTGAATTGAGGGTGAAGGTGTGTTGTATTCGAGTGAATAAGAGTGAGGGTCTTCGAGTTAGAGAAAAAGAGAAAGAAAGAGTCAGTGAAGAGAAGGAGGGAGGGAGGAATCTTTTTAAGGCATGGGATTGAAGGAGAGAGGGAAGGATTTGAATGGGAAGGTGTGGGGTATTCAAGGGAATAACAGGGAGGGTCTTCGAGTTACAGAGAAAAAGATAAAGAAAGAGCAAGAGAAGAAAAGGAGGGAAGAATCTTTTTATCGATTGATGGAGGAGGGAGAGGAGGAGGGAGAGGGATTGTCTAGGGGTACCTCCTTTTTAACGCCCTCTTCTCTTCTCCCTCCCTCCACAAAATAGCTTTCCCTTCATTCATTTTTCCTTCAATTAAAGTTATAAAAAATTTTTTGCCGTTATTAATTTAAAGGATTGAACGAATCCTTTAAAAAAATCCGCGAGAAGAAAAAGAAAGCCGCGATGTCGACAACTAAATTTAAAGAAAAAATGGTTGCCATTTTATTTTTTCTGTTAATTTTACTTGTTAAAAGTAAAGCGTTAGAAGGAGAAGGCGAAAGTCTTTTACAATCATTCAGAAATGAAAATGGACAGAATGGTAGGCAAAATTTCCAAGTTTTTTATAGACTTTAGGAATTGGAGATCGGACCGAGACGAGATCTTGAAGAAAATCTAGGTCGTTGGGAATCGTTGTAGGGTTTTCTGACACTCCCTGTTCAGTCTCTCCAATAGTATAAACTAACGTATTTATTCTAATTAAATGGCCTCTCCACCCTCTCCTCTCCAATGGCCTCCTCTTCATCTCATCTCCTCTCCATGGCCTCTCCTCTCCATCTGAATGGCCCTTTTTGGGGGTATTGAAAAATAGATGACGGCTATTCACTTGGAATAAACACGGTAGTTATTTTTCTAATTTATTTCTAATCCAAAAACAGAAAGGCGGATATTCCAAATTCCGTTCGGATAAGGATCCATATATCAGAAGATCCGAATATCCTAAGATTCCCAGGAAACGCTAATCCTACTCCAAGTACCTTAATCTTACTCGAATTTTTAATATTGCACCCCTCTAAAATTTAAAAATTGAAGAAGAACATAAGGAAGAACCAACAAAAGAACCCACAGAAGATCAAAAACAAATTGTTGTCTACAACCCTTTAAAATTAAAACCAAACAATCCAGAGCTAAAATTGTTCGAATTTATTGAGGCAAAAATAAATTTTTTCTTTGAAAACAAAAATAAAATAGTAAAAACGTTGAAAAAAATAAACTGGTTCAAAACCGAGTTGAATGCCGAAGAATTTGAAAGCATAAACAAATTGGGGGATGAAAATTATGAAATGTTGGATAAACTGAATTTTGGCGTTTTGTTGAAAATAAGAGGAATTTGTAGTAATTTAAGCCATTATTTTATACGTCTAAATGGAAATATGCTAGGGTTGTGTTTGGATAAGGAATTTAAGAAGCCATTTGATAAAATGTTACTGGACCATAATTTAAATTTCGTAAGTTTTTATTGTTATACAGGTGGTTGGTCGTTTTTCCGAATGGTGTTTTTCCAAAGGGATGCTTTCAAGTGGGGCTTTTCCATAGGTAGTTTGTTCATATAGCCTTTTTACAAAATGATCATTTCTAAAAATGGTCAATTTTAAATATGGCCATTTTCCAATTGGTCGCTTTTCCAATTAGTCGTTTTTACAAATGGTCGTTTTCCAATTGGTCGTTTTTGAAAATGATCGATTTTCCAAATGGTCGTTTTACAAAATGGTCATTTTGTCTATCATACCATCCGAGACCTAAAAATTGAACTGGAAATAACCTAGATGTTTTCCGGCAAACGAGTTTATAGCCGACATCCCCAAAGAAAAACGGGGAAAAATGAGGGAATAGAACCTAGTTTCTTTCCATTTTTTCTTTACCGCAGAGATTTAAAACCTTATTTATAAGTTAATTTTAAAATCCCCATTTAAAACTAGAAAGTGGAAGATAAAGAAGGGTTTGAACCAAATGCTGCTGAAGAAACCCTTAAATATTTAAAGAAAATAGAGGAAAAGGTTAAAGGAGAGGTTAAGGAAGATGTTAAAGAGAACAAAGAGACAAAAGTCAAAGAAAATAAATTAAACAAAGACTTGAAGAGATCAAAAAGTGAACTTTTATCGTTAACTAAATTAACGAATAACAAAACGAGAACTTTAACCGAACCGTTTAAAAACGTCTTAAAAATTGTGAGAGTTTTAAAAACCTTAAATTCAAATAGAGGAACGAACTATAAAAAAGATAGAAGCGAATTTAAAAAACTTCCTTCGAACAAAGATGAAAGAAATACTGATATGTTTACTGACATTTAACTGACATTTAAAAAGAAGTGTTTAAACTAGAGATCGGGACTTTGTAAAGTACAGTATTCCGGATTATTATCCAGATTGTACATACATCTAATCGCACCTTTATGCGTCCAATCACATTTTATTTGAGGTTTTGACTGTCTACTCACGACTAAGGATGATGATTCCTGGGAAATCTCCGGATATTCGGAACCGGTATCCGAACCGAAAATTTCCGGATACCCGAGGTTTTTAGGTTCCGGATACCCGTAACAGCCAACCTTACTCACGACCAGGGGTGGGCGCATTGCGTTTTGCGTTATTTGCGTTAAATTTTGGCCTTTTTTTGCGTTTTGCGTTTTGCGTTATTTTCGATGAAATTAACGCAAAAAATATAACCAATCTGAGGACAAAATTGGAGAAATTTGGCTTCTTGACCTTCCAAAATTCTGAAAAATTTCGCCTGCGGCGCTAAAAAAGGAAGAAAGCTGGCTTTCTGGCCTTCCAAAATTCACAAAATTTTCGCCTGCGGCGCTGAAAATGAAGAAGGATCAGGAGTGGTTAAGTCGGGGATTTCTAGGGATATCTGGGAATCTATCAATTTCGAGAAGATATTAATGGATTGTCAGAATTAAACAGGTCTTCGAGTGATTAAGAGGATATGATGAATATATCTAGAGATTAATAAATTAATTCTTCCCGTTAATCTTCTAATCTGGGGGCAAAATTGGAAAAAATCTGTTTTCTGGCTTTCCAAAATTCCGAAAATTTTCGCATGCGGCGCTAAAAAAGGAAGAAATCTGGCTTTATGGCCTTCCAAAATTCCTAAAATTTTTGCCTGCGGCGCTAAAAGTAGAGTATTTAAATATCAATTTTCCATCATGGAACGGCTCTGAAGAATAACGGTGCATTATCTGGAGATCAGGTCTCCCGTTATCCCCATATCAATCCATAACTACTTATAGCCTTCATCCTTTGCTATCTTCCCAACTCACCCGACATCCGTCGATAATCCCATGATTTCCTTGATCCCTCCAAATTATCCCTTTAAATCCTCTGATATCGTTCATAATCCCTTGTATCCAGGATAACTCAAATCATTACCCATCCAACTTACATGTATCACAAAGTCGAGTAGGAAACGCTGACTTATAGTAATACTTTATTTTAACTGAAAAATAACTAATACTTGATTTAAAAAATTTTTTTCCCTATTTTTGCGCTCTTGCGTTTTGCGTCTTGCGTTATTTGCGTTAAATTTTGGCCTTGCGTTGCGTTTTGCGTCTTGCGTTTTTTGAGATTGTCTCTTGCGCCCACCCCTGCTCACGACCCTTCCAGTCCGTTCTCTCGTTTAAACCTTTTATGTAAACCCTTTTGAGGAAAAAGCGAATTTTAACGTCATTTTTTGTTGAGAGAAAAATATGTACATAGAGATAGACCTCGATTTTATGAATACCCTTGGAAGTGTAAAAATCTCTTATACTAAGAAATTTTTGAGGGAGTATTGCTTAGAAAAGATTTTATCTTAAATTGAGGGTATGTATTTTTGGAGGTAAAATCGAGGTCTGAATGTATAGTAGAGACCGGAAATTTTGAAAAGCCTGGACCTGTTCCTGGACTCTGGGGTTTGATTTCTTGACCTAAACTGGATCCTGGGCCTGTAGTCCAGGAAAAACTCAGGCCCAGGAAAAACCGCGGCATTATTTGTTAGTCCAGACCCAGGCCGGGCTCTACTGTATATAGTCTAAAGTTGAACCCCTATCCATTCAATTTGTTTGACTCCGAACCCGCAAATTTTATATACACCCTTGAGACTCCAAAAATTTGTATTTTAAACTGGAGAAATTTTTTATAGTATAACAGGGATGTCTCGAGAAAACGGATTGAAAAATCTCCGGGTTTCGAGTAACCCGAGACATCTCCCGATAAGAGCTACACGGAAATTTTAAATTCTTCCTAGCTTGAGGAAAATAGGAGAACTCTCCGTTTCATTTCCTTGAGAAGAATAACCCTTAAAGAATACTCTTGGTCACTCCTTTCCGCAACCATGAAACGAAATTTTCGCGCAGCTCTGATCCCTCTTATGTACAGAATTTTTTTAAATTGTCGAACTTTTTAAGCATTTTCTTTGTAAAATTTTATCTTTAAAATTGTATAAAACATAAAATTGTTTATTATATAAAAGTATAAAAGTTAAAGGAGGCGAGCGATCCCTTCTCTAAAACTATCTTACCTATGAAAGTGTAGGGTGAAGAGAAACGGGAGTTGGTAGGAGGACTAGGAGGCTGGACAAATTGCGTTTTTCACTTGCGGATTTTTTAAAATAAGCTGCGGATTACCTATTGATTGCATGACTTTGACAGAAATGGGAGAAGGGGGGATGGGTGGGAGAATAGTTAAAGCTCCACAAGATTAAGGATAGGGGCATTTTACTATCGTCAACAACCTCCCCTCGATAGCAAGACTGGCATGAAGGGGAAGAGGAGGAGAGGAAGGGGGAGAGGAGAGGAGAGGGGAAGGTTATCGGTGACATGAAGAGGAGGGAATCGTTGACAGCTCTTATAAGCATTACCTACGCTCGACAATAGCTCTCCCTCGATTGCGTGACTTAGCATTAGAGAGAGAGGAGGGGATTTTTGACCGTGTCCGGACAAAATATCGAATCGTTAAAATATGGAATAGGCTAAAAAAGGGTTAAAATCTCGAATCGGGTAAAAATGGGTTAAAATCGCGAATAGGCTAAAAAGGGGTTAAAATGTGGAATCGTTAAAATATGGAATGGTTAAAATATCGAATAGGCTAAAAAAGGGTTAAAATATGGAATCGTTAAAATATGGAATGGTAAAAATGTCGACACGGCCAAAATGGGTCAAAATGTCGAATTTTTTTAAAAATGGCGCCAAAACTAGAATCCGGACAGTACAGTAATACCGACGGTATTTTTCGGTATTCCGTGTCGGTAGTACGGTAAGGAATGCCGACCGATAAAATTTAAGAGCTAATCGGTATTTTTTGGTATTTCGTACCGTATACGGTAAGGTCAAACTTTAGGTCTTAACTAAAAACTAATGCACACCACTCTAATTTTTCCATATCAGGATCGCGTTATGTTTTCCGGATCCGTACGATCATGCCGGACCGGATCCGGTCGATTATGCTTGATTTATCCGGTCCGGTTTTACTCGGTAAAATACAATGAACTCGGGCAGAAAAGATTGCGCCGGACTACGACATAAGAGACTTATCAATCAACTTATCATCAATAAGTTGATAAGAATTATCAACAATCAACGTATGGCACTCATCTGACCCTTTTTTAAAAGAATTCGACATTTTGACCGATTTTGGCCGTGTCGACATTTTTACCATTCCATATTTTAACGATTCCATATTTTAACCCTTTTTTACCCGATTCGATATTTTAACGTTTCCATATTTTAACGATTCGGTATTTTAACCCCTTTTTAGCCTATTCGCGATTTTAACCATTCCATATTTTAACGATTCCATATTTTGTACCGGAGCCTTTTTGACAGTAAATGTATATTTTACTTACTCATGTCAACGTCCTTTTATTTCTCTCCTTTAAAATAAATTAAAATAAAACGAAATTAATTTTTTCACCTATTTTTGAATTTTTTTTTTAATTTTTTGGTATTTTTCAACGGTTAGTTGCATCCAACTTTGAATTTTAAGGTTCCAACCTCTCTTAAAATGTTTAGCTCTTGGAACCTTGCTTATAGGCACTCTGATCCATCCCACTGGACAAAAAGCGCCGTGTCCGGAAATTTGGGGAGTGGACACTTGGGGAGTGGACAATTGGGGAGTGGAAATTTGGGGAGTGAGCGGACATTTGGGGAGTGGACAATTGGGGAGTAGACATTTGGGTAGTAAGTATTAAAAAAAATTTAAAAATAGATTTTTCGGACAATAAAAATAATTTATACACTAGTGAAGGTGTTTTTGTGGAGTTTCAAAGATTTTAAAGATATTTTGATGTCTGTAGCCGGTTGAGTACACCCATAAAAGTAGGATAGCAACCTCCCTTCGGGGGCTGGTATGTCGGTGATCGGGGTTTGCTGGTAAAGGCATGTCGAGGTTCGGAGTCGGGATTGACTTTTCGGTCGGGGGTCATGGTTTCACTAGAAATTAGGGTAGCACAAAACCGTTTAGCTAAACGATAATCGGTATATGGTAAATGGGTTTTTTGGTAAAATTAAACGGAATGGTATAGTCTTAGATAAACGGCATAAACGGGATACTGTCACTCTAGACGGCGTTTAACTAACCTCTCAAAATTCTCAAAATTTTCGCATGCGGTGATGAAAAAGGAAGAAATCTAGCTTCTTAGCCTTCAAATATTCTTAAACGTTTTGCCTGCGGCGCTAAAAACGATACAGTGGGAGCTTTGACATTCGACGAAGCTCGACGAGTTCTATAACCTAAGATTGACTGACCACTTTTTAATACGTTGAGCAAGGAAAAAAGTGGGGGAATTGAATTTTACCCTTTATAACTCCACAAAAACACCTTCACTGTGTATAAATTATTTTTATTGGCCAAAAAATCTATTTTTAAATTTTTTTAATACTTACTACCCAAATGTCTACTCCCCAATTGTCCACTCCCCAAATGTCCGCTCACTCCCCAAATTTCCACTCCCCAATTGTCCACTCCCCAAATGTCCACTCCCCAAATCTCCGGGAGCCAAAAGCGCGTATTTGTCCTCATCGGACTCGTCCCCACACGGATTCGTTCGATCTCAAAAAATCCGAGTAAACATACTCACTTTGTCGAACTATAAATTAAAAAGGGGTATTCTTATCTTAAAACCGATTTAAAAAGATCTAACCATCTAAGAAAATCTAAGCAAGACATTTCCTATAAATTTAGAAAAAATATTAAAACCCAGAAATTTTTTTATCAAACAAGTTAAAAATGGTCATTTTTTACTTTCACTTATAAAATCTATGGCTCTTAAGAGGACTGCTTGGGTTTGAATTTTTGCAGTCTGCAAGGAACGTTTAGACATTGAAAGCATGTTTCCTCTTAGTTCTTAACAACTTTTCAAGTTAGCTTTGAATCGCTTAATCCCTAAAAACAAAGAAAAGAAAGGTAATAGCCAGCAAACACAGCTAATAAAACAACTAAATCAATCGAAATTTCGAATTGAAATTCTTCATAAATCGAAATTTCGAATTAAAATTCTTCATAAATCGAAATTTCGAAACAGCCCTGCCCATCGCATTCAAAAGAAAAAGGGAATTTTAAACAAGTAAATTTTTATTGAATGCTTGGCCTTGACAGGGAGGGGAGGGAATCGTCGACAGCCCTTACATGTCTAATTATATTTACTATCAACTCTTCCCCTTCATTTCTTTACATAATTTAATTAATTTAAAATTTAGAATTAAACAAGTCTAACTTAAGGAAATTTAACTCTCTAAGCTACATTTTAAGCTTAAAAAGAAGCAAAAAGCGCTTCGATATGCTTTCAAAATTTCGACCAAAATTGGTCATTTTATTAATTTTTATATTATTTTTGGTGATTAAATGTGAAGGATCCGGTCCTGGTTATTATAGTGAAATTGAACTGGGAGGTTATCCTGGTGAAATAGAAGAAGAAGAAGAAGTAGAAGAAGAAGAAATAGAAGAAGCTCCTATATATGGGAGCACGATTACAGGTGGCCAAAAAAGTCCTTTTAAGGGTGCGGTCTCTTGGCTCTGTTGGGTAACGAGAATGAACGTGGTTGTAAAGCAGGGATCGCACTGACATAGAAACTTCCCGATTTTGGGAAATCTTGAATTTCCGACCCAAAAAACGACGTAATTCCCAAAAATCTACGGGAATTTTTGGGCATTTTGTTGGTTTATGGCAGAGGTCGATGTTGTACAAACATTGTGTTAACTGATGTTATCCTATAGTAGAGGGTTTTAGGAGATAGCGAGGGATTTGGGAGGATTAGGAGGTCCTCGGCGAGGTTCTTGACGAGGACCGAGATCAAGAATCGGTCGAACACCGAGACCGAGATTTGAGAATGCGTGAGAACCTCGGCCTCGCGCCACTCTTACTGAACTACAGCCTATCCAACAACCTTTTGTTTTTTGAACCACAGGCGCAAAAGGCTAAGTAAAAATTTCCTAACTATGTTAAAGACTCTCACTGTTACGCTTGTGAGAGTTTCCCTGGCGATGACAAACTCTCTCTCTCTTTTTGTTAGGAAGGAGAGCAACTTGAGGGCACCTTTCCCAGAACTGGTTCCGGACCTGCTCCTACATTTTTCTTTAATCAAAAATTTTATTTTAACAAAAGGTTCAAGTCATCACGAAGACGGAGGGTTAAATTACGAATTGTATGGTTTGATGGAGAGAAAAATTAAATACTTCTTAATCATAAAAAATGTTTTGGAAGTAGATTTACGTAACAAGGCTCAAGAAAAGATTCAGAAGGATTTACTCATCTCTTATAAAATCTACAGAATTTGTAAGGATATAAAACATTATTTTACCGAATTAGAAGAGGATGTTAAGTTACTTTGTAATGGTAAAGAAAAGTCTCTCTTACAAAAAATTGGTAAAAGTCTTGGTAAGAAAATGAATCTTGTCAAAAAAAAGAGTTCCGACGAAGTGATTGGTATATCAAAGAGGAGTTTTGTAAAAGAATTTGGAAAAATGTATCATATTTATAATATAGCAGAATCTAAGGTACTCAAAAAATTTTTAGTTTTTAACAAATTTTAAAGGGTAATACATTCAATCTACGCTTTCACACAGACCAAAAGTTGGCCGGTTATCTCCCTAATATTTTACGAGAAAGCCTTCAGGAGTGGGTTGCCTGTTAAAAAGGGCTAGGATATTATATCAACTATCCATCAAACGGGCGTATTGTAAGGAGTTCCGATTAAACCGGAACTTCTCAAAACCCGTAAGTGTTGTGTATGGGCGTCAGCCCTAAAAGTGTTTACTATAAAAGCCAGCCATTAGTTAATTCTCGAGTCTCTTCACCTGTCCATTCTTCCTGCCACAATCTTCATTGTATTTCGTTCGTGTGATAAAGTACCTGTTATAGTCCTCTACGTAAGCGGGGTCGTAACAGTAAGGATTTGATTACTCATCTAATTTTGGTCTAACTTTGATATAAAGGGAGCATGCTATTAGGAGCATGGCCCTTAAATTATTCCAATAATTAAAGGAACCTCGTGTTGATGAGCACTACAACAAAAATGATGCTATAGCAATGTTCAATGCCTTAACTCAACATGTGGAAGGTGATTATGGGCAACTTGCACAAACAGAGGATTTAGACAACGAACTGATAACATTGATGGAAAGGAAAATTAAATATTTTTCAAAAACAAAAAATTTGATAAAAGTTTTGATTGCACAACGGAATCACGAAAATTTTAACAAGAAAAATAAATTTTTATTCGATCTAATCCAAATTTGTTATAGCATAAAGCATTATTTTCAACGGGAAATAACAGCTGTCAAAGAACTTTGTAAAGATTTTTTTGAAGAGCTCAATCAAATGATCAAAGAAACTGATGGACAGGAAATGTTTGATGTAAAATAAAAAATTTTTGGCGCTGGTCTAGTTTATGCGTCCAATGAACTTTTATGCGTCCAATGTGTCATGTCGTGGATGGGAGATGGAATTGAACCATCACGGAAAGGGCCCAAACCGAAGCACAACCGACTGTGCCACCATCCAACCCGATGCTGGGTTGTTTATTTTCATTTATATTCTTTCTGCGAGTGCGGACACAACAAATGAACTTTTATGCGTCCAATGATAGTTTATGCGTCCAATCAAAAAACAATTAGATTTTTTTATTATTTCAAAGTTGGGGTATGGTTCCAAAACATTTCTTCATGTTCGGGACCTACGCCCACTAGGTCTGGGACCGTTCATTACCCTATCCCTCGAAATTTCGGAAAGTTACAATTGTTTTTGCGAAATTTTTAAAAATTGGCTATAACTTTCCGAAATTTCGAGGAATATGGTTTAGAACGGTCCCAGACCCAGTGGGCGTAGGTCCCGAACATGAAGAAATGTTTTGGAACCATGCCCCAACTTTGCAATACTAAGAAAAATCTAATTTTCTTTTGATTGGACGCATAAAAGTCGATTGAACGCATAAACTGGAGTAGGGCCAAAATAAGGCATACCATTGTTGATTTGATATGTAAAATATCAGTCTATTTTTCACCTATCCACTAGACCGGCGGTGTATTTCGGGGGTCTCTACTAGAGGCATGCCTGAATTGGCCCTATAATCATGCCTGGATTGGGCCCTACAATCAAAAATTTTTCAAGAGAAGTATTAAAAATAAAAATTATAGAAAGCGAAAGATAAAGACAAGAGAATTTACAACAAGGAGGATGTTGAAAAAATGATTAAAGATTTGAATGAACATATAGAAGAAAAAGATTTTGTTAACCCATTTATGAGAGAAGATCCACAAGCGTCATCGAGTGCTCTAAAGCCTCTTGGACGTGAAAAGGCAAGAAGCTGGAGTTTTAGGGAACAAATGAAGAGCAGGTTGGATATGCCAACGTTTGCGAGAAGTGCTACTACTACAGGAGGTAGAAAGAAAGGGGGAACTATTCATCTTGGAGGAAATTGAATTTTTTAAATGGTTTGGAGGAAAAAGAAAAAGGAAGAAAGACGGAAAAGGCTCATTATTGAGCTTATTATTGAGCGCTCATTATTGAGCGTAACATAGGGGGACTTTATTTTCTATTATCTTATTTTTTGGGTAAAAAGTGGAAAAATACCTTCAGAAACTAAAATAGTCAAAAATACTTTCCTTGAAATCCTGTAATCAGGACATGTCTATTTTAAGAGCCTATTATACCGTATTTGTTTTAATATAACACATGTCGTTTTAATTTTCAACCCTCTTCTGGGGTGTCGTTTTATTAGAGACTGTCGTTAGAATAGAGACTGCCTTTGTATTAGAGACTGTCGTTATATTAGAATAAATACGGTGGACTATAGAACAGAGGTGTGCCAAAACAGATTTTAAAAAGCGAAACGCAAACGTCTAATAACGCGAAACTTCGCGAAAGGCGAAACACGAAAATCTGCGAAACGCGAAACTGGCACACCCCTGCTATAGAACCAGTGATTATTTTAGTTTCCAGTAGTGATGTTCGGGAGAAGAAAAAACTCGGGAATCGGGAAACGGGAGTCGGGTCGGGAAATGACCTCGGGAGTCGGGATCGGGAGTCGGGAATTTACAATAAAAAAATTTTTGGCGCCTTCGGCGCCAAAAATTCCGGTTTTTTGCATTGCAAGGGAAAATTATGAGAATTTTGGAAGGTCAAGAGGCCAGACATCTTCCTTATTAGCGCCGCAGGCGAAATTTTTGAGAATTTTTGAGGCCAAGCTGTAAAATTTCTTCCATTTTCAACGCCGGGGGCGAAAATTTTGAGAATTGGAAAAACAAGGAGCTAGATTCATCCTTTTTCTGCGCCGCAGGCGAAAATTTTTTAAATTTGGAAGACCAAGAAGACAAATTTTTCCTCCCTCAGCGCCGCAGGCAAAAATTTTGTAATTTTGGATGGCCAAGAAGGCATATTTCTTCATTTTTCAGCGCCGCAGGCGAAAATTTTGAGAATTTTGCAAGGCTAAGAGCTCTGATATTCTTTATTTTCTGCGCTGCAAGCAAAATTTAGAAAAATTTGTAATGATTTCTTCGATTTTCTGCGCCGCAGGCGAAAATTTTTGAAAATTCATGACTAAATTAATTTTTCTACAGTTTTTTGACGTTTATAATATAGAAAAAAATAATTGTAAAATTTTAATATCAAAATAAATGTTAAAAACCATTTATTTTTGGATGGAAAAATTATTTAAATAAAATACTCCAAACCCGGATTCGAACCTAGACCAACCAAAGTAACTTAGGCACTCAACTTAACCACTCGACCACCTCTCAACAATAGTTGTCAGGGAAAAAAATTAAATATTTTATTTTCCCTTTTTTTATTTTTTCTCTTTATTTTTTCCCTTCAAAAATAAAATTTTACCAGAAAAAGCCATTCTTAGGGGTGTAAAAATTTCCCGACTTAGTCGGGAATTGCCATCGGGAGTCGGGGTCGGGATCGGGAGGCCAAAAACTCGGGAAATTTCCCGAGTCGGGTGTCGGGAGTCGGGATACCCGAACATCACTAGTTTCCAGAAAGTATTTTGTAAAGCTATACAAGAATTGGTTTTCAATTTTGGCTATACATTTTTTTGGGGTTTTCGGTCTTGGTCTATAGGTGGACAAATCTTTTTAAGACAAATCTTTTCCATTAAAAAAACTAAAAAACCTAAAATTTGTTAATTTTATTTATTTTACCCCTTATAAAATGGCACCTTGTTATATAACATTTCATTTAATTATAACTCTCCTACTTTTCTTCTTCGCATAAAAAGTTTTTTTTATAATTTTAAAATTTTTTGAAGATTTTCCAAGCGTTATAAGGTAAACTATAAAAATTTCTTTGAAACGGATCTGATTGATTCACTTGTATATGCAGTAGAATTTCGTTAATACGACCCTTTGGGACTTATTGACCGGAGCAGGCCAGAAGCCCAAGCCCAAGGTACCTCAGAGCTATAACTTCGAATCCGGAACGCTCTGGTATAGTTCAACTCAGCTCGTCGAGATGCACCGAACCATGCCAGGACGTCCCGGATTCGATTACTTTGAATGAATTTATAGCTCTGCGGTATCTTGGGCTTGCGGTACCTTGTGGTGTAACCCCTACTGACGTAGAAGAAATATTAACGGGAGATAGGGAGTTATATGTATATGTTTGCATATGTAATTCTTTTGCCCCAGAAATTAACTTGGTTGACCTAAAATTGACCAAATTCAAAAAAAAAGATAAGGAAAATCCCCCTTAGGGGTTTTGACCAGTTTGAGCCGCATAATTTTCCTTGTAAATAAAAAATTTACTTCAAAAATATCTTTCCAAAAATCGCGAAAAATTGAAAAAATTTTTGGGTTGATAAGAAAAAGTGACGGAATTTTTGAAGAATTATGGGAACGAAACGGACTTTACCACTACCGGAATACCCTTCTACAAAGATGGGAGACGCTCTTCCCTCTTCTCCCTCCATTCTACCTCTCTCTTCCATTTACCACACTATTTTTCAATTCCTCTTCTCTATACAAAAAATTCTATTTTCTTCACCTGCTATCAATTAGAGAAGATAAACCCTTTTAGCTTTCCCTCACCCTTAGAGAGAGAGAGACCAGAGAGAGAAATAAAGAGAGAGACAAAGGGAGAGACAGAGACCCCTCACACACAGAGACCCCCTTAGAAAGACCCTCTCTTTACCTTCCTCCATCTCCTTGAAAGACACCTCCCTCCCTTCACCTTATACCCCCCCCACCCTCCCTTCTCTCTTCATCCCCTCTCTTCCCTACTCTTATCAATTCCCTATTATGTTGTGGCAACAGAAAAGTCGCTTTGTGTCTTGCGCGTTGACTCTCGTTGACTTTTCTCGCCTATATTCCCATTGTTTTTATCCCCCCTCACTATTAGACGCATGTGCGCGTGATTTCATATGAACATGCGGCATGGATTTTTGCCTTTATCGTCTGGTCTCTCTCTAGGCTACATGCCAAAATTAAAAAAAAATTCTACGTGCAACAGACAAGAAATGTTAAGGATTTTTATAAAAAGTTTTTAATAAATACAAAAAACAATCAGGATATGTACACATAACAGAGATCCAACCGTCCCGATTCCCGAAAAATCGGGAATTTTGGTTTTTTGTCGGCATGATCCTTCATACATACATACGGTATTACTAGCCAAAATGATAGCTTGTTCCAAAAGAATCCTTAATATTCTAATAAACATTAAAAATAAGCAACCACTTTTTGCTAGTAAATATAGTCGAATCTCGATTTAACGACCTTTACGGAATAAGACATTTTTTGGTCTCTGTGTTTCTTTTGACCGATGAACGAGGCTATCTATATCCATTTCTCCTTCAGCTAAAGTGCAAAAGATTATTCGGCGGCTAGGTGCGAGCCAGCATCTGACGGACTGAAGGTTATCCGTTACAGCACACCGTTTACTGCACCGCCTCAGGAAATAAATAGCTATATGCTTTACATTACATATGGGCAGTCGACATATTCTCCCATGCCGTTAGAGCCACGTTTTCAATAAAAATCTTTAGACGATTCTCTACCTTCTTGGCAATGTTACTTCCCAACCAGGAAGTGGAGGGAATTGCCAAGCTTTAAAAAATTTTTTAGCGGTCGTATGCTTCAGACAACAATGAGAGAGCTATCGTCGAGAGACGTCGTCGAGAGACCATATAAATTAATCTATTTTACTTAACCTCGTCAACAGTCTTCCTTTCTTTATCACTCCTTCGATTAATTAAAAAAAAGCTTTTAAAATAAAATTTAAAAGAAGAAAATTGAACTAAAATTTTCTCTCCCTTCCCTAAATTTTAATTTGCCGCTATTTTTAGACGGTTGGAATTATGTGAGTGCCGCCAACTTTGAATTTTACCGGTCCTAATCAAGGCCTTTCTTGGGGGGTTTTCGCTTTGGAGCTTTGATATACAGCCACTCAGAGGGCTAGGTCTGGCTCGGCTTCTTCCATTCTCCATTCTAAACTGGCGGCACTCACCTACCCTATTCTTTAAAGCTCAAAAAGAAGCTAAAAAGCGCTTCAATATGCCTTTAAAAGTTCAACCAAAATTGGTCATTGTATTAATTTTTATTTCATTTTTGGCGATTAAATGTAAAGGATCAGGTTGGGATGATTGGGGAAATTATAGCGATTTTAGCTATCATCAACTAGGAGAAGGACCAACACCAACATTTGAAGGTGAACAAAAATTCTCTTAGCACACTTTTGGCCCTTTTGTTAGTCCCCTTGTAATGAATAGAGACGTAAGAACCAGCTCCGGAACTAGGAGACATACCTATTTGATTTCGCCTATTTGCCCGATCTCTAAGCAAGACCAAACAGGGAAGGCGGGCCAGAAAATGTGAAGGAGGGCCAGAACACTCTTGGCTTTTTTGTTGAAACAGGGGCATAGGGAACCGGTTCCAAAACTCGGAAAGATTGGTCATAACCTTCCTAATATGATAAACACACTTTCAAAAATTAATATTCTTAAATTTTGGGCGAAGAAAAGAAGGAAATAGTCGTTTCCTCTGTACCTCAGTAGAGCACCTACATAGTTGTAAGCGAGGTCAAGCGAACTCTATTAGCGTTGTCGCAGGTAGAGCTCCTGCCCGACGGCTAAAGCCTCCAAAATTTGTAATTCTAATGTGTTTCTTTAAAATTTTCATAATCAAAAAAAATTTTTTCCTTCGTAAAAGGTTCAACTAGTCAAGGAAACATGGATTTAGATGAACAACTGTTTAATTTGATGGAGAGAAAAATTAAATATTTCTTTAGAGTAAAAGATTATGAGCAATCAATGTTGGGGAAATTGGATCCTGCGCTCATAAATACTGAAACTTGGGATAATTTAAAATTTTCGATTAATATCTACATAATTTGCAGCAATATAGAGCATTATTTCAAAAATAAAAAAAATTCTGTAGAGAAACTTTGCAAAAACGATAAGAAATTCGTAAAAACGTTTGAAGAAGAATTCGGGGAATATTATCAGGTAAATGTTTTCAAGGGGAGGTGGTTGCAGTTAGCCACCAACTGTTCTTCTAATACATACATATGTGACTTGTAAAGGTTCCGACAAGGAAATGAGTCTGCAAGTCATGTAACTCAGATAAACAATAAGATGTTCGAGACTTTCGGTCGTTCCCTAGTCGAGAAAATTTCCGGAGACTCTGCTTTTTTGAACTCCTCAATATCCCTAATAAACAAGCATTTCCGAATTAACTGACTATCCTGAGTAATTATTGCTTTAATCTCTCAATAGAAAGCGTTATTAATCGAGAGAAGAAAGTAACCTAGGATAAACCTAAGAATTTAGGCTAAAATCTTCACAATTTTGCTTCAAGTATTTTGAATCATTCAAATAATTATAGGCACCTAAAGTTGAAAAAAAGTATAACTATGACGATGCTCAACAAATGATTAGAACTTTAAGTAGCCATACTGAAAGGAATTTTGAAGTAACGGATTATACCCCAGTTTTTACACAAGAAACATCAACATATGGTGCATATACGCATGAACATCGTGAAGAAAAGAAAAAAGGTAAAGGCATCAAGGGTTGGTTTGGTAAGAAGGGTCGCAAGTAAGCACTAATGGTGGAAGGAAGGAGAGGGAAGACTATTCATTTTGAAAGAAATTTTTTTTAAATGTTTTGGGTGAGAAGAAGGAAGAAAGCTGTAAAAATTAAAAACTATTCTTATTTTTAAATTAACACATAACGTATTTTCTCTATTAGAATGCCGATCTCTAATAGAATTAGAGATCGGCACAGGACAGAATCCTGAACAGGATTTTTCAGGATCCTGTCCGAAATCCTGCCTTTTTTCAGTTTTCAGGATTCCTGGATTTTCAGGATTAATCCTGCAGGATCCTGTCCTGTTCGAAATTTTAAACCCAATCCTGATACAGGATCCTGCAAATGCGATTTTACCGATCTCTAAATAGAATGCCACCCTGGAAAGTGATTGGAAAATAGAATGCCATGGCATTCTAATAGAGAAAATGCGGTATTTTTCATTTTTTTATTGGTTTGGAACTGAAAGAGGACTTTCTGGAAACTAAATGATCAAAAATTTTGCTTAACCATACAGTAACAAATGAGATATTTTGGCATAATAAGAGTCTATCAATTTTAGAACTAGCTCTTTAAGCATAACTAAAAGTTTCCAGAAGGTATTCTGAACAGTAAACTTTGTGTTTTGCTGAAATTTTCTGTCGATGAACCTAACAGAGAAACCGAAAAAATTTTTTAAACATTTTTTAAAATTACCCTAACACATAAAATTACCCTAAAAACATGTATTTACTTTTTGTATTTTTAAAAATTGTACCTCTCTATGTATTTTACCTTTCTATTTTTGATAAAAATTTTTCCAAAATTTTCTATTTTTTAAACGACAAATCGAAATGCTAATGACTCTGTTGACTCTTTCTAAGTCTCTTTAAAAGTTTTCTGAGATAGTCTCACAGGTTTACGTTTGAGGTCGGTAAAATCGCATTCCCGTGATCCCAGAACGGGATTTTTTTCAACATTTTGTACAGGACGGGGTCCCGCGGGATTGATTTTTCCAGGTAGAAAATTTTTACAGAGGTTCAATTTCCCAGAATGATTAAATTGATGTTGATTTTTATGATCTAATAGGAATCTTGATTAATTCCTCATCTCAGGGATGGGTTGAAACTAGGGTAGCCACCCGACACTTTGGGGCGGGTGTGTCGGGGATCGGGGTTTGCCGGGGAAGGCATGTCGGGGTTCGGGGTCGGGGTTGACTTAGTTGACTAGTTTTCTGAGAAAGTCTCTTTTCTGGGTCGGGTTGCTACCCTAGTTGAAACAATAATTACCCACCCTCAATACCCTACCAAACCTTCAAATTTCAAAACCCGAATAGTTTCCCTCCCTAGAATATTAATTCCCCAGGGAGTTAATCTAGAAAATACGATAAGTTGTGGAGGCGCGAGAATATAAGACTGACTTACACATCGACAGTCAGGTTGTTTATTGAGTGCGCGGCGGGACAGGAAGAGGGGAAGGGAAGGGGAAGGGCGCTCTCGACACTTCAAAAAACTTAACATATGCCATTTACTTTATAATTGCCATTTTTCTATATCGATTGCAGCCTGTCAAGAAGAGGAGAAGGTAATGGATAGGCCTTGGTAAGACCCTGCCAAGACCTTGACAAACAGAGGAGGAGAGAAGTGTAGGAGGGAGGGCATCGTAAGAGGAGGGCCCTTGTAAATTATATTCAGTCACTCACTCATGTTGACAGTCCTCCCCATCCCTTCTAATTTTTTAAATTTTTTTTCAATTTTTTAATTGAATAAGAATAGTGAATTAAATTATTTATTTAAAAATTTTTTTAATAATTTTTAAATTATTTTAGCTAATTTTTGAAGCTTAAAGGGAAGCGAAAAGCGCTAAAATATGCTTTTAAAAGTTCAACCAAAATTGGTCATTGTATCAATTTTTATATCATTTTTGGTGATTAAATGTAAAGGATCAGGAGGTTATAGTGAAATTGTGGAAGAACCTTATGAGGGCGTACATGGAGGTTGGCCAGAAAAAATAATTCTAGCCTGAGCCTATAATGAGGATTATACGGGCATAGATTATAAGGGCATTTCCTAATCTAAAGCCAGATTAGGAAAATCATCCACCAGTTTCTCCCAAAGCATAATGCCGAATTCATGCTGAAACCATGTCCAAAGAGAACAGGAATATTGGCAAGGGAGTATTATTAGACTGCCTAGGAATAACTTCAGGATTGTCCAGGCCCATAGGCAATTCTCTTTACACAAACACACTAGTTGGTGTTAAATCCTTTATCCAATAATAAAGGAGAGGGTACAGCTCAAGTAGGCGCACGGCCAAGTAGGCGCAAAGCCGTAACTTGCGAATCTTATCAATTTCCGAATCTTATCAAATTACGATTCCTCTCATTGAGCTAAAGAGATTGGTACCAAAATTGTTGAGGTCCAGAAATTTTCCAGCTAGTTATGGCTTTGCGCCTAACTGGTCGCGCGCCTACTTGGGCGTGTCCCTAAAGCAGATATACATAGCCACACACGACACAAACTCTAAAGGCACAAACTTTGGGAACATGCGGGTTTCCCTTAAAATTATTTAAAATTTTAATTTTTTGTTCTTCCAACAAAGGTACAACACAACCAGCAGAAGGCGATTTAGAGAGGGAACTGATAAAGCTTATGAAAGAGAAAATTGAATATTTCGGTACCATAAAAAACACTTTAGAAGCAAAAGTTAGGGTAGAAAATTATGGTGATGTTAGAGATGATTTGAACGCTTCATATAATGTCTACAAAATTTGTAAAGATGTAAAACGTTATTTTCAAAAAAAGGAAAAAGATGCGAAAAAAATTTGCAAAGAGTTTATTGAAAGCTGGGAAAAATTTGTCAGAGATACTAGATTAAAAGATTCATTCAAGGTAAAATACCACCAGCTTTGCTAATCATAAGGGCACTGAGAGCGTTTAAAAAGCTCGGTTAATGGAATAAAAAGACTTTTCTAATTATCGACCTGGTATCTCAATTGGATGTTCTAAATCTAATTTCCTTTCATGCTAGGCGCTGTAAAGAGAGAGGTAAAAATCGGATTTGCCTAGTCCCGTTAATCTAGTTCAAAATTCCTTTAAGAAGCAAATTCCAAGTATGTTGGAGCAATCCCAAAGGGGCTTGAATATTTTATTGAGAAGGAAAGATCCTTCCACCCCCAAAGAGAAAGATCCCGCAAGGGTAATCGAAAAAATAAAAGAAAATCGGGATTAACTCCCCACTACTTTGGACTATAAGTTATCGAAAAATGTTGCTGGCATATTTTATTTTATTACATTTATAGAAACCTCAAGTTACTAATGTGTATAACAAGGAGGAAGCTATAGCAATGATTAATGCTTTAAATAGCCATGAAGGAAAAGGAAGTTCCGAAGTAAACTATGAAGACCCAATTTTTGCAGCAGAAACAGCCGCAACATCGAGCGAGTATTTGCCAGTGACTGAATATCATGAAAAGAAAAAAGGTTTGAGTTTTGGAGCAATAGCTAAACTTGCAAAAGGCGCAAAGAAATGGGCGAACAGAATCAAAGGGGGGAAGAGCAGTGGCAGTGGAGAGAAGGGGAAAACTATTCACCTTGGAAGAAACTGAATTTTTGAAGGTTTTGAATGAAAAAAAACGAAGAAAGAGACAACGAACCGGATTTAAAAAAGATTATTATTTAACGTAACATACATAGGCCCCTATTCTTCATTTTTTTTTTATTTTTTCGGTGGGAAAAAAGGATTGGACACAACCCTCTATTAACCGGTACCAGGGCTTTTATAGAGCCGCAGTCAGATTTTCGGTTATTGCCGGTTCCGGTTTGGTCAAACATTTGTGTCCAACCTAGTGGGAACTGAACAAATGCCCTCTGGAAATTAGAATATTCGGAAATACTTTACAAATTCTGTAAAGTATTGAGAGCCTATAAATTAAGAGACTATAATTTCTTATAAAAGAAATGTGGTAGGAGAGAGAAGGGACACTCTTATAGACTCTTACTGACTCTAAAGAGATAGACATTAGAACCAGTACTTATCAGAATTACTCTAGTTTCCAGAGGGTATTTTGTAGAGCTGCTAAAGACATGGTCTTGAATTCTGGCTCAAATTTTTTCTTGGGGTTTTTCGGTTTTTGTCTTGGGGTGAAATCATTTTTAAGTGTTAAACACTTCTCATTTTGGACAACATTTATTAATTTTTTAAATGATATTTTTGGCAATTTATTATTGCCCATAAAGTAAAGACAGGATTTAAAAAAGGGATTAAGGAAAGTCTGTAAATTTCAACTAAACCTCGAGGGATTATGAGAATTGAGTAATTCTCGAGAGATTATGAGAGCGAGATAGGAAATTGACGAAAAATTCTGTCTTTATCCCGGCTAAAAATTATTTTTGTTAACAGTAAGCAAAACTTTTTTTGTTAGATTTTATGGTATAAATACCCTCCCCCAAACAAACTTGAAGGTGTTAAGACTTAACTCAGGGCTCTCATCGACAAAATACCAATCAAAAGTACAAAAATCTTGATTTTAAAGTACATAGGGACAAAATTTCCACATTTAAAGTACACTCAAAATTAAATTAGAAAATACATATTTATTCGTGCTTAAATTTCTATATTTCTCTCCTAAATGAATCTTTTCTAATAATTTCTTGTTTACACTGAGCATTTTGTGCATTTCAATGCATGACATGTCAAAATTCGCTGACACAAGAAATAAAGCCCTGACAGTCAACCTCAAACAAGCCACTTTCTTTCGTCATTTTTCAGCGCCGCAGGCGAAAATTTTGAGAATTTTAGAGCTCAAGAAGCCAGATTATTTCCATTTTTAGCGCCGCAGGCGAAAATTTTTAAAATTTTAGAAGGCCGTAGGCAAAAAAATTCACTTTTTCAGCACCGCAGGCGAAATTTTTTTGAAATTTGGAGCCCAAGAAGCCAGATTTCTTCCTTTTTCAGCATCGCAGGCGAAAATTTTTTGAAATTTGGAGCCCAAGAAGCCAGATTTCTGGCTTTTTCAGCGCCGCAGGCGAAAATTTTGAGAATTTCGAATGCCGTAGGCCAAAAAAATTCACTTTTTTGCCCAATCCCTTCCCCAATTTCATTTTCAATCTAAAATGTTGATTTTAAAGTACATACTTTCAATAAAGTACAAATTCAATTTTGTAAGTACGGAGGTCGATTTTAAAGTACTGTACTTTCAAATAAAGTACGAATGAGAGCCCTGTGTTAAGAGATGTGATTTGTAGAGTTTTTACTTTGAAGTTGTACATAAAGGGTAAATTTCTTCATTCTTCGATTTCACTCTATTTCCCTAAGGCATATTCAAATTAGAGACATTAAAGAATAGAATGCCATTGAGGCAAATGATCTTCAATGGCGATAAATACACAGCTCTGCTTATTAGAACTTATGGTCTGGTATTGTGCGTGTGTCACTGGACAGTATCTATGTGGTACTGAGGGGTACACACATCTAACGTTAGCATGAGTTTTGATTGCAGAAGCTGGTGATATGTGACATAGATTGGCATGGTTTTTGTGCAGAACAAGTACTTTTGTTTTGATATAATAGTGCCTATCTGGTACCAACCTCTATATAAATTGTTGAAGAAATTGACCTTTATGTACACCCTAAGGAAGACAGAAAATGGGGTAGAGTAAACGTATAGTACATACCGTATTGTCTCTAATACAAGCCCTGGGAGTCTATTTTTAATACCCCTTATTGAGTGGGCTTCTAGTAGGGTATGGGCTTCTATTAGAGACGGGCTTCTATTAGAGACAATACGGTAATTATTTTATTATTTGTTAGCTAGTATTTTAAATTTCATTTTTTCGGCATAAAAGTTTTTTTCATATTTTTAATATTTTTTGTTTAAAAATCTAAGAGTTACATGTAAACAATATACCTACTATGTAGTTGTTGTAATAATTTTATTAGAAATAATTTTAAAAAATATAAAACTCAAAAAAGATTATCAGGAAATGTTTGGTAATAGTTTGGAATTCGCCCCCCCCCCTTTTTTCACTGTTTCACTGACCATTGTGAGCTTTTTTGTTTGATACATAATTTATCATATATCATTCGAAAGAGCTCTTCGAGCGTGGTCGAATGATACTATGATTAGCCAGGTCTGATCAATCTTACCAAAATTATGAAGTCAAATCCTAGTTTAGGCAAACTTTTTGTGTCAATGCAAGGGGATAAAATAAACGGTCACAACTTTGTTCACTTAGTCAGATTTCGTTGTTCTTAACGTCATTCGACTCAGCTTGAAGAGCTCTTTCGAATGAAATATAATTTGCCATAAAATGAAAAAAAACTTAGAAAAAGAAGAAAGGAAAGGGGGGGGGCGAATTCCAAACTATTACCAAATGTTTTAACTAATGAAAATCCAATAAAAATTCATAACTAGAAAATCGATGTAAGAACTAGTGTTCGGCATTGTTTTGTCTACCGCGAACCCAAAAACGTACAGGGACGATAATTCTCGTAACTACAGGTATCGTACAATCAGCATTCTCAATCAGTATTTCTCTCAAGTAACTACAGGTATTTTCTGTGGAAAAAATTCATTGGATGGAGATGGAATTGAACCATCACGGAATGAGCCCAGACCGAAGCCCAACCAACCAACCCGATGATGGGTTATTTATTTTCATTTATGTTCTTTCTGCAAGTGTGAACACAACAATCATATTTTGGATCTTTTGATACAAGTTCGGTACCGATGTTTTCCCTAAAGCCAAAAATTGTGTTAGTTTTTGCAGAAATGCTTTTTGCAGACATATAGATAGCAAGCTGGACTTTTGCCAAATTATCATATGTATAGGTATTACTTTTTCTGAACAAATTGTATATTTTACCAGTAACCCTTACAATGATGAAAAAAAGGGTCTTCGGAATATGGGTGTCCGTGGGTCTTCGGGATGAAATTCTGTAAACAGGTAGATTATCCTTAATCCGCTATGGGGTAATATGGACTTAGATATAAGCCCCCAAAGCTTTCATTTCCTCATATATTTTCTTTTAAATACCAAAATTTAATCCCAAAATTCCACGGACACCCCCTCCCTCTACTTTGCTAGATTTAAAAAATATTAAATCCATAAAAAAAACTTTTTATGCCAAGAAATGTGTTTTAAAATACTAGTTAATAAATAAAAAACTATGTACAATGTCGGCATCCTAGTTTCAATTTTACCGGCAAAATTCAATTTGGCCGGCCATATTTAATTTGTTTTCCAAAAAATCTTTTTCTTGGAGTTCGACTTAGCTATGGTGTTTTGTATGATTTTTTGAGCTCAGGACCTGTGATTTAGTTAGTTTGGGAATGTCTGTTAACTTACCGTATTTACTCGAATAATTCCCCTCTCTCGAATAATCCCCCCTGCTACGGATGAGTTGAAACAATAATCCCCCTCACCCAAATACCCTACTACACGTTGAAATTTCCAAACTCGAATAATTTTGACATCTCCATTGAATAATTCCCCATGCCACGGATGGGTTGAAAAAATAATTCCCCAGGGGAATTAATCGAGTAAATACGGTAAATAGCCAGGACACCGACGTTTACATTTCACGTCTTTTCTCACTTTTTTAGTTTTGTGTTGGTAGGGGGTTTGACTAAAAATGTTTACGTACTGTAAAAAATAGGGGTCAATGTTACGATAAATAATAATCTCTTTTTAATCCTCTTCGTTTCTCTTTTTCAGTCCTTTTTCTCTCAAAATTTAATTCACTCTCTTCCGAGATGAATAGTTTCCCCCTTCTCTCGGCTTCCACTTTTCTTCTCTTTGATTTTCTTCATCCATTTGTTTACGCCTCGTGTAAGTTTAACTATTGCCTCAATACCCCAACCTTTCTTCTTTTCATGATACCCAATCATCGGGGATACCCAATCATCGGGATACCCAACACTCGAGGTTGCCGCTGTTGCTGGTGCAAACGGGCTAACATAATTTTCTCCAGAAGTTTCTTCTCGATGGTCATTTAAAGCTTTAATCATTGCTATAACATCCTCCTTGTTGTACACCTTTGTAACCTTGGGGTTCTATAAATAAAAAAAGTTTTTTTGATTTCCTTTAAAACTATTGTCCAAAATATGTCCCTAATAATTGTCTTATCTAAGTAAATTTCAAGCACATGAGAATGTGCGACGGATTCTTCAGGGGATCTAATGCAGATTTTTATATTTTTGGGATTAACCCAACAGTATACTTCCCTTTGTCTTCCCATTGGATTTGTGGAGTACTGAAGATTGGAATTGAAGATCGATTCGAGACTTACATCTAATAATTATCCTAGGTATTTATTGCTTCTATTAGTTCCTAACTTCTCTAACCTGGTCAAATCTAACTCTGGTCAAATCCCAAATCCGGCGTACAAAATTTGCCGGACCCGGCGAGCTGGACCGGATCCGGATTTGCCATTAGAGACGGAACGTATCCGGGCCGGATTTGCAATTAGAGACGGAACGTATCCGGGCCGGATTTGCAATTAGAGACGGAACGTATCCGGCCGGATTTTTCCAGATTAATCCGGTCCGGTTTTAATCTGGAGATCACGGACTTCAGAAAAATCCGGCCGGATCAGTTGCCGGTAACTAGTTTCTATCCCTCGTTGAAGGGTATAATTAACATAGCGGTCGTAATTACTTGA